TTCAGTATCAGTAATGTAGGGGTATTTCTTAGAGTATGAGAATAGGACTTTTTCAGCACAAACGACATTTTCAACTGGCTTGAATCGATATAGGATCATCGTTGAAGATTTTAATCAGGACAATCGTCTGGAGATCATTGTTCCCAACAAGAGTGGTAACACTGTGGGCATTCTTTTGAACACATGTTAGTGTGGTGGTTCGTAATTTGGACTCTTTTTTTGCTTAATGCTTTGGCTCCTCATTTATTACATTTATTATCTTATGGGATTGTTTTATTTCGCTTATCAGCTTCTTATTTCAGAATACAATTGAGTAATTCCTTTATAAATGTACCCAGATTATATAGACTTGTAGCCAGCCATATCAAAAGTTTAGAGAAAATAGAGCTCATTATTCTGTGCGCAACATGGTTCCGGAAATTTTAGACAATGACAATGTTTCCAATATCTACATATGATGTTCTAGTAAAACGCGCAGATTCTCACTCTAACAATATTGATCTAGAGTTTGTACTAAACTCAAGGACCTTTTTCTGGCTTCATGGCACTTTCTAAAACCAAAATATCTGAAGGACAGCGTGAAATCAAAATCAGCTTCCGAAACGATGTATGAAACCAGACAGGAATGATTTTGTGATTACACTACGCTGGAAACTACCTCTTGATGTCGTAAGGAATCAATATGTTTTAGTGAACTGTGTGTCTGTACCAAACTGAATACCTTGGACACCATAATAATGCTGAAAATGACTGTCAACGATAGCGAAGTTTAAAAAGCGACCACAAAACTGATTACTTTTACAGGCTAGTGACGTTTTTTTGAGATAGTTTTCATAATTTCTCGAAATTGGTTTGGATTATCGACGGCTTTACTTACACATTCATTGGTATTCAAGTATTTCGATTCAATGATCCGATGTTATGCAGAAAATGCAACAATGAGACAAGAACAAATTCACTTGGGGAAAAATACATGATTGTATGTAAGACGTCATTTAGTCTCACATTTTGGTCGACTTGACAGTGTGAATATGAATGAATAGAGAACCTAAGCCCACACCCATACTCACAATATCGTTAACTATCACTATGTTCGCATTTCTCCCATATAAATGACACAACTTCGGTGTGTGGAGAAGGAAGAAGAGAAAGAGTATATTTCTGTATTTCTGAGGTCTGTAGAAGTAACGCCCAATACGGAGAAGTACGCTTAATTAATGAATAGGGTTCATGGTGTTTGTTTGAGAGTTTGGAGGATGAAAGTCTTCTCTTAAATCTCATCCACTCACAGTCACACCAACACTCTCAATCCGAAAATGTTCTCGACAATTCATGCTTTTTTTTCTATAATTCGGCTTTCATGTTTAACCAGATAAATCATTTCAATTTAAATTTTCAGGCTATTTTTTCATTGAAAAACAGTGTATATTATTCAGATATTGTGAAAAACAAAAGCTTTATATACTATGATCGTTCTCTGTTGAGTTCTTGTTGATTAATAATTGCGACAATAAAATGTTCTGAAATGATCAATAGATCAGCACAAAGATTATCTAGATAGTTACGTATCTCTTTGCCTGATGTTTTTGATGCCCATAAGCCAATAGGAATTGCAGCAACAATACCTAAACCAAGAAAACCGACACCAACACTATAACTCAATGAACTGATAGCTAAAGTAGCAGCAGCTATTTTTTTTCCTACTAAACCACATGTAACTACTCCAGTTGGCATTGCTGATGATAGTTTTGTTGCTATTGATGAATCTGTTTTTGGTTCACGTCCAAGATAAATTGTTTCCGAGTATTCATTTTTATTATTAATTGTATTGATCATTGTTGATGAATCTGTTGTTTTTAAATAATTAAATGCATCAGATTTAAGATCATTTGAATCCATGTTTAATGGATACTTAAGTAATAATGATTCAAATTCATCGACTTTTTTCAATAAGTGATTATATAATGATAGTCGATCTTGTACTCCAAGTGCAGTACGAATACCAAAACGTGTATGAGCAAGTGCTATTTGATCTCCCCAAGGAACTATTATTGCACTAACACCTGCTAGAAATTCATGGCTAATAAATGATGTAATATATCGTCGACGAAAATAAGTACCAATAATACGAGCACATATCATAGCAGCCATCCGTTTAATACGTTCTAGTGCATAAGATTGTTGAGCAGCATTGATCAATTGTTGACTAAGCAAATATATATCAAATGGATGTGTTTTACTATTTATTTTTTCTATATTATTTTCTTCCATATTTGAATAAAGAGAATTAATAAGAAAAACTTTATCTGATGATGTTTGACATAGTTCAATAGCTTTTTCTCGAATCATTTCAATAACTTGTTCAGCTAATTCATTTTCTTCATTGTCCTCAATTGTAATATCAGGATAATCAAGTTTTCGTCGTGTTATTTGTTCATTAAAATGTTCTTCAAATTCTTTATCAACTTTCGATCGTACATACCAACATGGTCGATTAAGTCGTTCTTTAATTTCTTTTTCTAATTTACGTTCAAAACTTACTTGTTGACCAGTATATAAAATAATATATAGATCACAATCAGCTTTTTGAATTTGTTCAAAATATGATGCAGCTTGTACTTTGGTGTTAAAATCAGCACAACCTTCAATATCGACATAACGAATAGTGACGATAGTTTGTGTGTTAGAACATAGATGTTGTTCATCAAATTGTAATGATCCAACAGTTGATTGACCAACTGCTGTTGGAGATAATGTTCGATTAGTAGATGTAGATATCGAATTTTGAATACGTAAATAATTAACTAAAGAACTTTTACCAACACTGATATTTCCAATAAAACCTACTCGAAATGGAATAAGATGCAATAAAGATTGATTTCGATCATATAAAGACAATAGATCTTGTTCTAATGTGGCGAATAGATCATAAATTTTAGGATCATTAACTTGATTTTGTTTCCATTGTTGTATTTGCTTAGTTATACGAGGAAAAATAGTTTCAATTTCAATTCGATCTGTTTCAGAACGTAATAATTCAGAAATAAGTATTAATCGTGAACATTGAAATGTAGACATTTGTTCTGAAGTAGGTAATGAAGTATATTCATTTGATGTATCATCTAATGTTTTTTTAGTTAATTCATCTTTATATTCATGCATAATATTACCAATTTCATTATAAATATTTCGAAAACGAATAAATTCTGTTTCGTATTCATCAAGTGAAGTAATCATTGTTGTTGCAATTTGATATTGTTGAACATAATATGTATGAAATGGATGATTGATTGAATTTAAATATAACTCAGTTACTTGTTGCTGTTTTTCTTGAAGAATATTTCGTCTATAATTGATATCTTCAAGTATATCGTTTACACATGCAATACTTTCTTTAAGACTGATATCTTTCAATTTATTAGCATTATACATTGAAATAAAATTTGATTCAGTAATGATCACTTGTTCATTCATCGACATCATACGTTCAATAGTTTCATAATCAGAAGCAGATAGTTTTTCACATACAAGAATAAAAGAAGCTGCTTCTTGTTTTGAAGATTTTTGGCAAATACTATCTCGAAGTAATTTACGATAATTATTTACAAGAGTTCGAAAAGTTACTGATTGTGATTTTATATTTCGTTCGCATGTCCTCAATCGTCTTATAAATGTTTCTAATTTGCCACTCAATTGCTCAGCTGCAATAAGATAATATTTACTCTTATCTGAATAATAGTTTGTATCTGTAACAGTTGATAAACGCATTTTCAATGTAGTTTGTAATGTTTGTATATGAGTTCGACGATTTTCAATTCGATGAATAGCATCAGATAAATTAGGTCCATTAAATATTGTTTCCATACGTTCTGTACTATGTGCACCATATCTCATTGTATATGGTTTCCATAGAAATATATTTTCAAGTAAAATATTACGTTGAGGTCGATCATCAGTCTTATTACAAAACATGCAAGTAAACTTGTGATTTTTATTAAGTTCACAAATCATATCTATACATTTAACACAATATTGAACATTACAGATTTTTTCAGTACATTCAAGTGGAAGACGATCAGGTATAATATCAAATGGACTAAAACAAATACCACAACAAGCCCATATCTATAGAAAATAGATAGAACTCATTTTTAAATAACATTAAAGTAACTTACTCGTTTGACATACACATTAAATAGAGTAATATTATCTTTTGGTAAAATATCTAAATTATCAAGTATACGATCACATTTTTCTTTATCATCATAATAAACAATCAGAGATGATTCCTCATTGATATTATATATTTGAAAATGATTAAAAATATCTTTTTTCAAAGCAATAATATCTTCATATTCTTTTTTCCATTCGTGTTGTTGAGCCAAACAATGTGCACGTATATAAAAATAAACCATCTTTAAAAAAAACACAATAGAAGTCAAATTATACCTTTCTTATCAACAAAAAGAAATGCAAATATTTAGGTGAAACAAAAGTTGACTGTCTGATTATATATATATATATATAATATAGTTTAGCTGATAATACAAGAAAATTCCAACACACGTCAATTTTTTAATGTACGAAATAATGCACAAAGAAAATCTTGAATAATAGTATAGGCAAAAACACCAATACAGATAATAATAATTTGTATATTTGTTTCTCGTGCATCATATACTTTGGCAAAACTTTTTGCTGAACCATTAATAACACCAAGACATAAGCAGCCTTGAAAGCTATTATTTTCAATAGTAGACATTTGTCTTATTTTTTTTGCAGAAAACAAAAATTATAAATTTAATTATTGATTGACTAATCTATTGGCGCGTTGTATTGCTATTATAAAAAGATGTTAAGAAAAAAAACACAAACATCTGACACAATCGATTTCGAAAAAAAACGAGATACATTTATCTAATTAAAAAACAAAATGAACATTCATCAACATATATACATGCTCAAATCTGACACTGAAAAATGGACATTGCGAAATATTATCAAGCATAAAAAGTTGCTGGATTAAGTTGTTGACGAAGACTTTCTGGTGGTGATCGACAACCAACTAAATAACCGACAAGACCAAGACCAGCAACCAAGAGAAATATAACTAAATTAACGATAGATTGAATAATAAGAATGATAAAATAGATGGAAAATATTTACATGAGAGTAATAAAAGAACAACACCCCAAAATGGAAAAAAGCCATTGAGTGTTGAATCTGGATCATATCGATTGTAACCATCTCTTACACTAGTCATAAAATCACCTCGATCTATTGAAATACAAATAAATTCGAAATGATTTAATAAATAAAATTATTTCTTACAAGCATTAGTTTCGAATGTAAGCAATGATATTAAAGTGAAACAATAGATAATAACACTCATAGTTAAACAAAAACTATCTAAAATAAAATAAAAATATTAAAAAAAAATTTTTTTTTTAATCTTTTATAACATCTTTTAATTTGTCTCTTAAATCAATAATTGATTCGATTTCATCCGATTGAATCAATAATGGATATCGATATTTTATTTCTCTTAAAATCTCATTTCGTGGATAATTTTCATCGTCAATCTCATATTTATCAAGTAAATCTTTACTGCTCATTTCTTCATATTCAGGTAAATCAGGAAGTGGTTCCAATCGTGATTTAGGATCATGAATAAGCTTTGCGATTGCGTTCTCTAACCAATGCCAATATCCAGGTCTATCATTCATCATTAATGTACATGCAACAGTAGCAAAAATTTGTTGATCAGGATGATCTTCTGTTTCAAGTGCAATCATAATATCACTAAGAGAATGTTTCCAATAGCCACTCGATGGAGAACAATAAGCTTGACAACGATCTCGAACTGACATATTCAAAAAAAAGAAAAAGAAAAAATCTACGAAAAAGAAAAGTTACAATAAATGTTATCTATTAAATTAAGAGCAATGACTTCACCTATGTATACATCTTATCTATAGTTTAGAAGGTCATATGATATGATTTTCTCTTTGTTGTTCTTTCTCGAAGTACTTTCATGATTTCATCTAACATTTTCTTATGAAAGATCTATGTGATTAATCAATTTTGTCATTGAATAAATTGTAAGAAAAAAAAGAAAAAAAAAACAAATATAAATTTTTTTTCTGTATCTTTATTGATCTAAATATTTTTCCAAGGCTTTTTTTCTTGTTCATGCATTAATCTATTTTAATTTTCTCTCTTATTCACTTATAAGACAAGAAAACAAGCCAATAAATTTTTCAAATAACAACGAACAATAAACGCGCCAAGAGAAAAAAAAACGAATAAGTGTGAATAGAAAGAGAAGGGAAAAAAGAAGAAAAAATTCCACAATAGAAACAAAAAAACGGACACTTGAAGTGATCATTAGATAAATAAAATTTGTTTTATATATACTAGAACACCTTGAAGTAAGAGGATAATAAGAATGAAATAAATATAAAGTAAAAACTCGTGTACGTGTACATATATCCATTCCATAAGTTATGTAATCTTTTTTTTTTCGAAAAAAAAATTTCTTTGTGAATGTAAGAGAGTGAGAGAGAGAGAGATAAACAGACATATCAATGATATTTTTCTTGTTGGAATATATTTGCAAAAGACAAAAAAGAAAAAAGAAAAAAGAAAAAAAGACAATCTTCAAGCACTCTAAATGGATATTTGTCATCAATGTTCATTTAGCATTCTTGAGCTGATTTGAAAGCCAATCAAGACCTTCATAAAGACCATCACCACTGGTCGCGCATGTTGCTTGTATATACCAATTACGATTACGCAATGAATGAAGACCTAATTTATCTGTTATTTCAGCTGCATTCATAGCATTTGGTAAATCCTTTACAAAAAAAAAAAGAAAAAGATAATTTAATAAATAATTTAAAATATAAAACTAACCTGTTTATTCGCGAATATCAGAAGAACAGCATCTCGTAATTCATCTTCTGCTAACATACGTTGAAGTTCATCACGAGCTTCACCCACACGTTCTCGATCATTACTATCGACAACAAAAATTAAACCTAAAGCAAAACAAAAATGTATTTGTTTTTAATAAACTATTGAACTTTGTACCTTGTGTATTTTGAAAATAATGTCTCCATAATGGTCGAATTTTATCCTAAAATACAAAAAATAAAATAACTTTATCTTTTATCAATAAAAATAACTTACTTGACCACCAACATCCCATACTGTAAAACTGATATTTTTATATTCCACAGTTTCAACATTAAAACCTATAATCATATATATATATACAATAATCTTAAATGAAGTAAGAACAAATATATTTACCGATGGTTGGAATGGTGGTAACGATTTCACCTAATTTCAATTTGTACAAAATTGTCGTTTTACCTAAATGAAAATAAATAAAATTTCCGTTTTTTTTTGTTTCTTTTATCTCTTTATTATAATTTACCTGCAGCATCAAGACCAACCATCAAAATACGCATCTCTTTTTTACCAAAGAGATTCTTGAAAAGATTTGCAAAAATATTTCCCATTTTGATTGTTGATTTCTATGTAGTTGATTCGACTGTGTTAAAAATGCGAAAAGTAAAATGACGATATTCAAATCTAAACAGCTACAAAAATAAATGTAAATTTTCTTTTTAAACCTCGTCATTGTGATTAATGTGAACTCGTGGCACACCTGGCCACGTAGACAACTCTTGAGTAATAACTCATGAGAAAGAAAAAAAAAAGAGGAAAGCCTAAGAATAAACATTAACATTAAAAAAAACAAATAACAATCGCCATTGATTAAGTATGATGTCTCATTACTTTAGTAAATTCAACGACAGAATGTGTATGATGATGAAAAAAATATAGATTTTGAAGATTAAATTATTGAAAAAAAATTATATTTAAATGTTTTTAAATAATTTTATAATTATTTGAGCGCCATCTATTAAGATCGTTTACTTTATTTGAAAGTTTTTCATATTATATTTTGTGAATAAAAGATATTTGAATGATAAATCAATAAAAAATTTATAAATTATAACAAAGCGATAATTTTTTTCAATTCAAACAAATTGAAACTCTGTTATTATTGACATCTATTGAACGATACCAAGATTACTCTTTTTATTTCTTTTAGACATTCTCATATCTTTCAAAAAAAAAAGGAAAAGTATTGGATAACTTGGTCTTGTAAATAATATAAAGTTTATCTACAGATGAACTGAAATTCACAGTTCCTCCTTCTTCAAACGCTTATGCCAACTTTCTTTGTATAACGTACAAAGAATTACTTGAAAAGGTATGTTTGTAGTAATAAATACTTGATTAAGTCATTACATTCAAATGTGAGATTGAATTGAACAGTCTATAGGTGCTAATAAATAGTATAAATCATTAATAGATAACACTTACCATCAATAGACAGCGAAATACACTCCCTAAACTAAATAATAGATTTGATTGAAAAGAGATAGGTTCGTTTTTATTGCTATATTGACATAAAGCCCTCGATAGCATATAGAAATAACAGATTGTTTGATAAATGTTGTGCACTAGTATAATAGTGGCATCTGTATTTGTCTTAGATTATTTCCTATAGAACTAAAGATTTCATTTTCTTCGAAAAAAACAATGATAATGAAAAATGAATCAAACTCATTTTTTAGTTTTTTCTATTTTTTACATGATCGAGTTTTGACAGCATGAACAATGGCGGAGATTTGTTCTGTAGCGTCGCCTTCATCTTTTTTTTTTCTCATAGCGCCATTGTCTCTCTCTTCCTCTCTGCCGCCCCCTGCTGTTGCTCATTCTCTCCTTTGCGTTCTGATGTACCCATTCCTTCAACAACCGAACGAGACAAGAGAAAAAAAAGAAGAAAAGATTTTCGAGTTTTTTTTCCTGACAATTTGCTTTAAAATAATATTTTTCAAAATTTCTAGACTTGATCATTATTATCAAACAGGTATTTTTATTATTCATCTATTCTTTTCTACTAATAATCTTTTTTTTTTTTTTTTGTTTCTTTTTTGCATTTATATAACTTGTCAAAAGAAAAAAAAAAAAGTTTTTTTTCTCTCCATATGTTTGTATTTTTAGTTGCGGCCAACTATATAAATTATAATGAGCGGCTTTGATTGTTCGCTGCTTGAAGAGCAGCACTTTCAAACGTCGGACTCACTCAAAGATGGCGCTATTTCATGTTCCGATTGGTCTCGTTTTGCAATAGCATCATCAACTGGTTTTACATTATTAACATTTAGTGGTCATTCATCACGTAAAGTTCAATTATTTACTGTTTCATGGTTTCAACTTGATCAACATCTTGAACAAGACGATTTACGATATTATACATATACTCCGCTTGCACTTTTTTGTCCCGATTCATTACGACCAGACGGTGCTCGTTTATTAGCTGTTGCATCATCAACTGGTCAACTTGTCATCTGTGATGCTAATCAAGAATCACCAGTTGTTCTATTTAATGTATCAAAACGATGGAGATCACAATTAGATGAACGAAATGGTGGTACTGGTGCCAATCCAACTAATGCTCGAAAAGCACCAACTAGTAATGGAACAACATCAACTAGTGGAGGATTATCACGTGATGAAGAAGCATTACTTGGTAAGAAGAAAAATCTTTTTATTTAATCTTTGAATAGATTAGTATTTAAAACGAGAAAGAGAGACAAAAGTGAATAAAAGAAATGGCTTAATTTCCTTTTTCTATTCCACGTTGGTTTTTTTTCCTCTAAAGTAAAAAGATTTTTTTCTTCTTCGTCTGCTTCTTTTTTTCCATCAGGAAAAGAATTTCGAAAAGAAATAGACAGCTGTCTTTTTTTTTCTTCTTCTAATACGCCAGAGAAAAAAAAAGGAAGAAAACAATAATTGTCTTTTTTTTTGTTTCGTGTTCGAGAAAAAAAAAAGAAAGAACTATTCTTTTCTTATACACGCTATCACTGACAACATAACATCGAACGGGAAACAAAAAAAAAAAAAAAAAAAAGAAAAAGAAAAAAGAAATAGAAATCATAATTATTTGTTAGAATAACAAAGAAAAAAAAAATTTTCTTATTTAATTTATTTTAGTTCCAACTTGTTTGGGCTGGTCAAATGTTCTTCGTCGTGATTCACCATCTCGTTTTGTTCTTTTATTCTGTGGCCTTGAATCCGGTCATGTTGCTATATGGCAGTTATCCGAACAGCAACAAACAAACAATCTCACATTAACTTATGCTGCTTTACTTGAACCAAATGCTACTGAACCATCAATATCATCAACTAATGGAACAAAAAAATCTGGTCATTCACCAACTATGTCTAATGGTTTACATAATACAAAAACTGATTCACCATATCGTTCACCACATAATTCTATATCAGCTATGGCATGGCTTTCACTGTCTGATACAGCTGGTATATTAGCACTTGGTTCATCACATGGTCATGTATCACTTATATCAATATCATTAACTGGTAATGAATTAGCACCATTACTTGCATATACAAAACAAGAATCTCCACATCTTGTTTCAAATGGTGCACGTATACATCATATTGCTTTATATCAACAACATAATGAACATCGTTTATTTTTTGCACAAATGGATTCAATTGTTATAGCAACATTGAATATAACATCAACTGGTTATAATACATCATGTTCACAATTTACAATAAAAACAGTTAATGAATACGCTTTAAATTCAAGTGTATTAACACATTTTTTATCTGATACACAAGATCTATATTTAATATGTCGAGATGGTTTTATACATAAACAAGTAACACAAACATTTAATGATCCACATCATCATCATCATCAACAACATACAACTAGATTTGAACAATTTTGTCAATTATTACCAGCAGGTAAGAATTTAATATATATTTAAATAAAAACCGTTAGGAAATTGTTAATGAGTTAATCTTAATCATTTTGATCGAATGAATTTGTTTACATAAATATAATTAAAACTATTACATACATCTGAAGATTTTAGTATACTGTAGCGAAAACTTTTAATTAACTAAATATGAAAGTGAACAACAAGAAATAACTGTATGTTGGCTTTTTTTTTCTAAGAGTAGCGAATAAATAACTAAAACCTTGATCTTTCATTTATTCAAGAAAAAATTTCAGATCTGTTTCCGGGTTAATTTTTTTGTCGATCCATAGCTCTCCATGATTATGTATGTATATCAAACACATTTCTTTGTTTATTAAATAGGTAGTGATTGTCAAGCAGCTGGTATAACCCCAACACATTGTACTGTATTAACAATGAAACGTAATGAAGCTATATTAACATTATCAGTTTATTCATTAAAAGATGTATCATCAACAATAACATTTTTTCTTTCAAATCCATTACCATCATTTCGTTTAAATGATGTTTTAGCTGCATTACGTGTTTTACTTTATTCGGATAAATCAAATGCATTAACAGATTTAATTATGTCTGTTGCTGATTGTGCTGATCAAGCAAGTGTTAGTTTATTAAAAAAAGTTCATTCATTATGTCGTCTTCTATTATCATATCATAATAGTGGTCTTGGTAATGGTTTAAGACAAGCACCATATATGTTATTTTTAGCTGATGTTTTTGCACAAATGATATCAATTGATTTAATTAAAAAATTATATGATTATGTTCAAACAAAACAACCAACAGAACAACAAATACAATTAACACCTATTGAAAAATCTATACTTTATTGGTGTGAACAATTATTACAATATTCAACACAACAATTACAAGCATCAGCTAGTGCAACAAATAATAGTGGTAATACAAATACAAATATAACAGGTAATAATTTAACAGCACAATTTGGTTCATTACTTGCTATGGCTAATCCAAATATGACAACAACACCAACAACAATATCAAATGGACCAACACCACCAGCACAAATAAATAGTCAATATTTATCAACATGTGATCAAAAATATCTTCTTTGTCCATTATGTGGACAAACATTACATATTCGAACATTTTTTGATGTAACATGTTCAAATGGTCATGATTTTCAACGTTGTAATAAAACATTTTTACCAATATTTGTTCAAGATCGTGCAAAACGTTGTTCATTATGTAATTTTTATATAAGTGATACAACTATTGATGAATCAACACAATTAACAACATTAATTAAAATACTTGGAGGATTTACATGCACTTTTTGTGGTTGATTTTTTTTTTGGTCTATTTTGTGTGTGTGTGTGTATGTTTGTCTTTGTACAGTTTTCTTCTGATGTGTATGTGTGTTGTATATATACATATTGCTGCTCTACTCGTTGTTTTGTACTGCTACTATTATTATAACTAAAAACTTATTACCTCATTTGATCTCTTCTCTCCTGGATATTTATTCTTTTGTTCAAATTATGTTGCGTATAAATTCTTTGTTTTTTTCTTCTTTTTGATGGATCTATTTTTCATGAACAAAGATTCATTGTGATTTGTTGTATGATTGCAATTTTTGTTTTTGCCCGTACAGATATGCAAGAGAAGAAAAAAAAAACAACGAGAGACAATCAATAGACAAACGATATGCGCACGCGACGTACTACTGTCTTTTTTTTTCTCTTTTTGTATTATGTCACGCATACGTATTATAAAACAAAACATACGAGTGTGAGTGAGATACGAGTTTCATTTTTTTTCCTTCTTATTCTTATTGAGAAAAAACAAAATATCGAAAACGAAAAGAAAAGAATTGTATGTTTAAAAAAAAAGTGAACTTTTGAAAAAAAAAATGGGATTATTTGTTTGATTATTATTTTAGACTATAAAATACATATATATTAACATCTTGCAGACTATTTGGTGAGTTATTAAAATAACTTATTTTTATTATTATCAAACTAACAAAAAACATAAATATTTTTTTGTTTATTTTGTTCTTTCAGTTGATGGGTAATCAACAACAAACGGGTCGTATTCGCAGCGATACCTATACACGCTACGAGCGAGATGGCGAAGACGGTCGTTTTGTGACTCTTGATAATGAGTCAACGACCCACAGCAGTATACCATCATATGACGAACGAGTAATGTCGACAAATCTAGAGAAAAAAAAATACATATAATTTCTTTATATTATTTATTTCCTATAATAAGCAGATCTCATCAAGACAAGAGTCAAGTTTACCAATACGTATACGTTATCAACGTCAAATGCAGCAACTTCAGGCACAACAAGCTATAAATACAGAATTACAAAATGAAAAAAAAACAATACCAGTTGTTTTCAAATATCCAGCTTCACCAAAAGATAAAGAAGCTTTATTATCAGGTTCGTTTACTAATTGGAAAGAGACAGTAGCAATGGTTAAAAGGTAGATTTTATTTTTGTTTTTATTATAAATAATATTAAAATATGATATGTAATTCTCTAGTGATAATGATTTTGTTGCTATTCTGGAATTACCTGAAGGTAAACATGAATATAAATTTTGTATTGATGGTCGTTGGGAATATGATTTAAATGAGGTAAATTAATACTTATGTTGTTTTCAATTCAAAATTAGAATTATATATTTGTTTGTTGTTTTCTTTTTCAGCCATCAATAGAAGATGGTCAAAATGGTCGTAATAATGTTGTTACTGTTAAAAAAAGTGATTTCGAAGTTATGGAAGCACTTACATGGGATTCTGTTTTAGCTAATAATCAAAACCCAAATTTAAATAAACAAACGTGTAAGTTTTACTAATGAGATAATGTTTTCAACTTATCAATTACATTCTCAATCAAAACCTATTGAATTATAAATTATCGAATATGCTGATTCGATGAGAAATCTCCTTAAGTTTTTATCTACTAGTTTTACAGACTGGCAGATTTTTTGCTAAAAATTCTTTCTAATCTATTCAGATATATAGAGCATATCAAATTCCCTTGAAAGTAGTAACCTTCTTCATTTCAAATCGGTTTTCTTTATAGAAGATACAGTCATTTTTATTCATACAATACATACATATGAATATTTTGACATTTTTTTCAGATTACGCACGTTCCTTCTCTCTTACACAGTGTACAATAACATGGACGTTTGAGGAAGAACTGAAAGTGATATTTTTTTTCGATTTGAATAATATCCAGTATACTTTGGCCAATGGTTAGAGCCCTTCGGTTCCAAAATTTTGGACCCGGTTGAACTGTATTTTGATATTTTCAATGAAAGTTTCTAATCGGAATCGGATAGCCAGTCCAAAGATACGAGACATTTTTTTCAGTTTCTTTTTGTATTTGGTGACTAATGTATTCTACACATTTCTGAGACGAGTCGTCTGACAGATATATAGGGTAAAGTCTAAAGTTGTTGGACTTGAACCCAGTGAACAGAAAATTTTTAGATCCGGACCCGGCGAGCTCTGTCAATGGCTGACTTTTTTGTTATAAAAAAAAATTATTCTAGCCCTTTGAGGATTAGGAAACATCCTAGGTCCAAATAATGGTCAAGTTTCTGTCATCTTAGAGGAGAGTATCTTTTTTCCAAAGAATACGGAATAAATTGTAATGTTCTCACTCTATTGTTCTATATGAAAAATTTTGTTCTAACAGCTTCCTTGTTGAAAAAAGTATCTATGCTTTTTCCACTGAGGGTTTTCTAAAAGGTCATGTTCAGTATAGTTGATATGCACATTTTAGCATAGTTCGAAATTCGATGAAACTTTCACAGAATATTTTACTCTGTCTGACATGTCTACTCAATCAGCATAAATGCTTTTGAACTGTAAAGCAGGTTTTCTAAAACAACAACTTCGTTTTAAAAGGTTTTTTTGTATTCTTTTGTCTCAGAAGAACTTTAAGAGAAAAACAAGGATATATTTAGAAGCAACATGAAAAACTGTATCGAGCGATATGACATTTGTTAGTTTTTAAAATAAAAATTTTTCCGACAAACGTTTAGGGTAAGGATCCACAGCTAATGTATTTTCCATCGGAAATGTTCTCTTACAAGTTTCATTTTTTTTTCTATCAATTTTTTGTTGCCTACTGGAAACTAGTATTTCGGTGGCAAAACTATGTAATTTCGATAAAAAATAAGCCATATCTACGTACTCTATTGAAATTACCCGCTGTGTTAGTTAATGTATATATAATCTCAAAAAGAACCAATATTTCAATGTGAACATTATTGTTTTATAGAAAACTCGATATGCTCTATATTCTAAATAAATCTAAAAAGATTTTAGCAGAAATTTTCATTAATCTGAAAAACTAGCATATGAAGACCTAATGAGACCTCTCATGGTCATATTTGAAATTAGCACAGTTGATAATCCATAATTCAGTAGCTTTTGATTTTTATTTCGAATTATTTCTAATCAATAGCGAATGATCCTCAAACGCCTTCTTCACCACCGGGTGTTTATGATCGTACTTGGCCACCAACAAATCGTGAAGAATTTTCACCAACAGATAAACCACCAGTTTTACCGCCACATCTTCTCAATATTATTCTTAATAAAGACACATCTGATCATGTAAAGCTTTTGTCTTCTATACAAGAAATAATTCAATCGAGTTTACATTATTTTTTGTTTCTTATTAGTATGAACCTGCTCTATTACCTGAACCAAATCATGTTATGTTAAAACATCTTTATGCATTATCAATTCGCGTAAGTTTTCATACAAAATTCTATAGAAATAATTGTTTAATTTTTAGGATGGTGTTATGGTATTGAGTACAACAGCACGTTATAAACAAAAATTTGTTACAACATGCTTTTATAAACCGACAGGCAAATAAAAAACGCAACAACAACAAAAACAACAACAACAATAAATAAAGATTTTCCTATATTATTTCATATTGTACATTAAATTTGTTATCTGATAAAATTTTTATCATGAATGTCATCTTTCTTGATATGACACATTTCTGACATTTTATCATGTTTTAGTGTTAGAATGCATATACATGCATGAATAATAATATATATATATATATATGTATTAGAAATCTGTTATTATTTTTTCATCATTATCTATGAAAAGAATTTAATTTGAATGGGAAAATGATTACTATCTTTTTCTTTTAATGAGTTTTGTTTTTTTGAACTGTTAATTTTATTCAAGCAAGTTATATTATAGTGAATATTTGTATATTATTATTGAAATATTAAATTAGAATTTAATATTTTCGAATTTTAAAATAAAAATAACAAGATACAATTTTTCTTAATATAAAATACAAAGATTGTTACGTATAAGATATATAACTATTCGATAATAATGTCGGTCATGAAAGATTTTCTAAGTTTTTAATACTTGAAATGATGATAATATGAATCAATTTCACATATCAACTATTAAAAAGTTATCAATATCATGAAAAACGAAGTGAAAATTTTTAGATGATTAAATTCAAACAAATTACGAATGTACTATTTTTCTATTTTAATCAGTTACTAGTTGAAGTTCAATTGTATCATTGATTTAGAAAGTAAATAAAAAAATTGATAATATGAAATTTAGAATTTTCTAATATAACAACAATTACTTTTCTAACTCAATGCCTAAAGAAATGCATTTTTTTCTATTGCAAAGCTATAAGAAGTAAGTATATAATGCATTAACATACAGATGGATAATTCGAAAAATTCTGCATCTTTTACACCTTGAAACCAGTTTCTTTAAGACAGCTTAAAAGGAGAAAATAGTAATTTGAGTTTTTCTAAATTTTTCATTTGCACACTGAAAGTTTTGTAGCTTCTAATATTTTTGATAGTATATGATCATGTTTTCAATCACATATGAATGTGATGCAGACAATATTCTCTATATTACTATACCAAAAGAAACTCCTCTGATCAAGTTTAACACAAGAAAAAAAAATTTTCACATGCGCAACATTTTCTCTGCCAAATCCGTTATACGCTACAGTTGTGTTCTTTTAAAATACAGATTTGATGCACTCATGAAGAATCTCATGTAAGACTAATCATTCTACGAAAATCCAATGAAGTAATAATAATTAAAGCAATTTGTAAAGGACAAAAAAAAATACAAATAGTTTAAACCAACAAATAACCAAAAAAGTGAATGATGAGATATTTTTCATTGATTTGTTATTAAGAAGTGTTGCTCTGGCAGGCTGTAGAATGCTCCACCACCCGCGCACTTTCTCGTCATCGCAACGTGTTGTCCGACGAAAGATGATTATTTACCTCTTGGTAAAGATATAATAAGCAAATTATTTTATTTGTTATCAAAGTACAATATCAACTCTGTCTTTACAAATACCATGTCAAGCAAACAGAAACACAAGGAAGTCTAAGTATGAAAAAAAACAAATTAAGATATATTGCAGATAAGATAGCAGAAACAATGATTTCATAAATTTACCATTAGAAATATATCCACAAATCTAATCAAAAAATTAACTACAATGACGAAAACAATAGTACGTAGTAGAGATTACAATAGTTTATCAAAGTAATCTTTTATAAACATCATAATTTTGATTTAATAATGACTGTCTTTTCATCTGAGGCATTTGTCATTTTTATTTATACAAAATGTCGCTCTGGCACCAGATGAAAAAAGTAACATCCAGCACAACTACTTCGTCATTGCGACTGTGTTTCGATCATATAGCTCCTCTACCTCTTAGTATATAAAGTTGTAATAAGCAACTTTCTTTTATTATACGTGTATTTCGACATCTCTTTCGTTCTGATGAATTTCATTTTTCGTTTCTGTCATGTTTATATGAAATGTGTAAAGACAAAACAGATGTCGTGCCTTGTTGAAACATAGAATAGTTATCGCTTCTCGGCCTTTTCGGCTAAGATCAAAGTGTAGTATCTGTTCTCGTCGGTTTGAAAGCCGGCGCTGGTCCCATTGGGGCCAGGCTCTTTCAAGCGGATTTTTGGACATCGGCCGGGATCACCCGAGTTCACTCGGACCCGTGCCACGGATCGTCTCGACACTGCAGTGCCGTCGAGTTCGGTCCACTCTCGTTCCTTCGGGAACGGGAATCTTAAATAAACATGAAAACTTAACATTAATCTGACTCTCAACGAAGGAGATAGTATGTAAATTACTACAGATTGTTTCACATTCTGAGTGCAATGAATAAGTTATCGAAAAGAATTCTTGTAAAAATGATATACAAAATACGTGTGTTTTGGAGAGAATCACAAGGAGTAGAGATGATATCTTTTTTATTGTGAGTTAAAGTTGTTTTAGAAGTCAAATAAATTCTGTTTTTTTTTTCATGCTTTTTAATTATGAAAATGATCATAACAATGGTAAAGATTTGATCGAATAATTTCTTCCTTATTATAAGAAATAAAAACCTTGATCAGTATCAGCAATAAATTATCATGAAATTGGCTTGTGTGTATTTAATTGTTAGAATAGTTTCATAAAATATATCAGATTCAATGTTTACTTTTGATAAGAGCAAAATGCAATGACTAGCATTAACTTCAAGGTTTAGCTGAATTTTTATTTATTTTCTACAAAAGTGAGAAATAATAAACGATGTATTCTGAAAACAGAATGTAAATTTATGTTTTTGTTTTCAACAACGAATAGCACTTCCAATTGCCATAAATGTTCCAAAAGTTCCACCCGCTGATACTACTGCTTTGCCCATTGTTGAAAGAAGTTCACGACCACGTAAACCATGTCTAAAAACATAAATACACATAGAAATGAACATTTTCTGAAATATATAAATTTAATAATGAAATACCTAAGTGCAGTGAAACCACCAAAAACAATTCCAGTAACCATACCGACTGTAAAACCCATTGTAAATCCAAGTTTAACACGATCAAAACAAGTTGGTTTATTTATTTGACCACCACTTGTATAACCTGCTGGTACAGCTGGCATTTTAATTCAATAAATAAGAATTATATCTCAAAAAAGAATTATACAAGCTAGAATCAATTTTGTTCAAGTACGTTTTTTGTGCGTATCTGATCCAATATATATTCTTGTAGAGTTTTCTTTCTTTCTTCATCATCTTAAGTTTGATGAAAACTAACATTAACCAATATTTGTAAATATAAATAGATGGCTCTAGTTTATGTAAACTAGTTTTATTTTACATTATGTCGGTATCGATAAAGAAAAATAAGTCAAATATGGAGATATGTTTAGATTCCGTAAGTTCTGAACTCATGGAACTCTCAAAAGTGCAACTTCACTTATAGAACTGGTAGAGCCAGGCAATGGTTGAAGGAGATTCAGCTTTCTTTAGCAATGATATGATCCTAGATTATAGGCGAAGAAAATAACTACTTTTCAGCTTCAAACGGTGGATGAGCTCCGTCCCTAGTGGGAACTCAAGCAATTCTAACAACTAAAGCAATCCTAAGAACTTGTTAAACTTTAGGTAACAGATCAACCTTAGTGTTTCAAACGAAATTGACATAATCATGCTTTGTTTTCTTTTTATATTTATATCTACGAAATACTAAGTCTATTTTTCAGGACTGGACGAGTCCGAGTCATTCATTCATTCAAAAAAAAAACAAAAAACAAAAGTTAGTAGTTCAACACGAAAATCAGTTTCAGATTGTTGTTAACGTTCTTTATAAAAATAAACTGAAAACAAAGAGAAATGGCAAAAGTAACTTGACTTGCTCAACCCTACTAATTTTTATCAAACAGAATATGAGAATATTACTCATATTTCTTTAATTTTAGTATTTGAATCCATCGTTCATGAAAATTATGTAAAAAAAATTCATAGTCAACTAATTCCTACTCGTTGTTATCTTATTACTTTCTATGTTCTGATATTTATTTTTTGTAACATATAATACGTTGAAGACAAGAATAATGCTGAATTTATATGTATACATATCGACAGATACGATATCTTACTTTAATCTATTACTCATGTTCTCAGCTATAAATTAATTATGAAAATTGGTTTATATTAAAATCTACCAATCATCAAGTATGTTCGTAACTGTTCAACATATTGTTAAATGATTAATGATAAAAATATTCTTTTATTCATTTTTATTTCTTTGTCTATTATTGATTATGATTGCCTTTCATATATTTCAAATGTTACTATGCTTATCTTGATAAAATATCATTACGACATTATCATTATCATCAAAATCGAAATATGTTTACTTAATTATTTTAAATACAATCGAGATCAAATATATGTATTTATTCAAATCAATTTCACCACTTGTCATTATTTATTAATCAAAATAGTCGAATTATCTCGATCGTTTTTATTCATACATTTTTATTTAACACGTTCGATTGTCAATTTATATAACAATATGCAATAATAGTTTATTCTCTGAATAAATATTCAAATCGATATTTCGAATAAAATATACAAAATTTCTTATGATTTAATAAAAATATGTTGACTATAACTTGTATTATTTATAATAACATCTTTGTAAATTTTACTCTGTATACATATGTTTGATTATAAAATATTCAATGTATATATGTCACACTTGTCATGAGAATTCAGTTGAATTTGAGTTTTATAAAAACAGACTCACATTAAAAACAGCAACAAAAAAAAACTGTTTTTGATTTTTTTTCTATTTTACTAATAAAAACCAATGATTTTTGTTATGTATATTTCAATATACTGAATGTTCTCTTATTTTGATTGTATGAATCATATAGTAATTGATGTTTATTATTGTATTCAAGGTTTATTAATATTAGAATATAAGATAATTACTTAATTTAGAATTATTTATTGTATCATTTTTAGAATACTTATGTATTTTAGTTTTTGAATTTAATCGATTCGATGACATTCATTAAACACTAAATTTTTCTATAACGATCATTATTGTCAGATACCATCAAATGCACTATTTAGAAAAAAAAATTAAGTTTCATTTTCATTGATACTTGTCATTTATTATACTCTTCTATCATAATGATAAAACATACACGTAATACCAGACACCATTACGTTTACAAATTTTCCCTCATCTCGTCCTTGCTCGTTATATGTTCGATTTAATTATTTACCTGAGAATCCTGAATGAAAATTCTTTTTTTTTTATTAATGCCTTGAAAAAAATTCTATTTACTAATTATTGAAAATTCACGAATTATTCAATATTTCGATTATCATAAAAAAATAATAATAATAAAAATTTATATTCTTTGTAAAAAAAAGAAAAAGAAAATACTTTTTCACTGTATAAAAAAAGAAACATATTTATTATTCAATTAAATTTAGTCAATAATTCGATGTCCTTATGGTTCAATCATGAAAAAACAATTATATCGACAATATATATTCATTATACAAAAACAAAAAAATATTTACTCACACGGTATAAAAAAAACAAGATATTTGTTTTTCAATCAAATAAAAGTTAACCAATCATTCAGTATTCCCATATCTTCATTATCAAAAAGTAATTATAATAAAAATGAATACATATTCAGGGAAAGCAAAAAAATGCTTACTCACTGTATCGTCAATGTGTCTATTTTCATATGTTAAGGATATTTCTTATTAGAAAATCACACAAAAATGGTATTTCAATCTCAACTATATTCCAAAACAACGGATAGTAAACATGAGTATTTATCATTCTTAATTATCACTAATCAAATAAAGTTACACCTGAGTAGTTTATGGCGTGTATTATATCGTATTTCAAAATCGACTTCTCTTCACATGGGTCGAATCTATAGTTTCATTATTCTTATTATATTTCCAATATTATTTTTCATTATATCAATATATTATTGTTTATATTCGTCACCAACACATTATGAAATAATTATTACTCAATATACTATTCCAATAACAGAATTAAATTATAGTAACATATCCATTCCACTCAATATCATTCAAACAGGAATGGATAATAGTGATGGTTGGCGAAATGTTCAATCATTTAGAGAACTTAATCCAAAGCATTCGTATTTATTTTTTACTGATATAGAAGCAGAAAATTTTGTTCGTAAACATATGTCATCAGATGTTATTCATGCTTATGAAATTATGCCAATGACCATATTAAAAGCAGATTTTTTTCGATACATTGCAACTTATATACTCGGTGGTGTGTATTCGGATATTGATACAGAATGTTTACGAGCAATTGATACATGGACTGATAATCGTACGGATGTTGGTCTTATTGTTGGTATCGAAGCAGAAAGTTCAACATGGAAAAAAGATTCTGTTCGACCACTTCAACTATGTCAATGGACATTTGCTGCCAGACCAAATCATCCTATACTTAAACAAATGATAGAAAATATTTTGAAACAAACAAAAAAATTTTCTAATAAACCAATAGATCTATCTGTTGTTACGAATTGGACAGGTTCAGGCCTTTGGACAGATACTATATTTGATTATCTTAAAAAAACATATAATGTCGAATGGTCTACATTAACAAAATTACAATGTAGTCGACTTATTGGTGATGTTTATATTTTACCGATAACAGCATTTCAACCGTCTGCTTATAATATGGGTGCAAAAGGAAGAAATGATCCAGAAGCACGTATTTGGCATTATTTTTACGGAGGTCTGAAACGCGAATATCTGAAGAAAGCAAAAACATAGGTTTTATATTAGGAAATATGATAAACTAAGAAAACTTTCATGACAATTTTTATCTATTGTAGTTTTTAAGAGGATTATTCTATTTTTTGATAACTGTGATTAATTTATTATTAGTTTTTATCGCCATCTACCAATTATTTGTTCTATCATCAGATAATGGATTGTTGATAGATCAAAAATGTTTGGGTACAACAACAAAAGATCTTTATTTGATGATTCGATTGACTCATAATTCCGAGTGATATGTTGAATTTTGTAAAACTTTTTTTTTCAAATATAAAAAAAACACTAAAGCTAACGAATTTTTGATGACAAAAATTTTTAAAACGTTTATTTTATTTTATCACCAGCTAAACTAATTACAATAAGCATAGTAAGATAAACTGAAACATGATATTGATCAGATATTAATTGTCGTTTCGAATAATCCGTTGATTCAATTATATTCATTATATTTTTCAGGCAAGAAAGAAAACCGAAATAATATAAATTTTTCAAATGACAAATTTACTTGCATAATGTTCTATTTGAAAATTATTCATGAAGACTATTGTCTTGCAACCAAGTCGGATTTTCGGCTCGATCCAAAATATGGGTCCGGCTTTCAAGTATGATCTCATTTCAACATCTGACCCAATAATTATTGAGATTTCGACGTTTCAAAGTATTTTCTACTTTTTCAAACTGCTAATTTATATCAAAAAGTATACGAGTAAAAACTGGTTTCATCACAATTGAGAAATTCATTGTACTTGAAAATAGGTTACAGAAGTAGGAAACGATATTGTTTTACTAAAAGAATTTATTTTTAATGAAAATTCATTTACAGATGACGATGATGATGATGAAGTAACTGAATACATGAAGAAAAAAATGAATTATCAAAAAAGTGAACATATATTATCATGATGGAAAAAGCATTTATGTATGTATTCACAATTATGACGTTTTGCATCAACACCTGCGTTCCATTCCAGCATCATCATCAACAACAACAACAAACAAACTTATACTTATCAAAATTGATCGGATTATAGAAGTAGAAAGACATCAAATGAATCCTGAGTCATTTGAGATGATCTCGTAATTTTTTTGTTGTTGTTTATGGAAGAAACTAAATGGTATACTGTTTCATATAAAATAAAACTTTGAAAATCATACTGTGACTGTGAAAGTATCTTTCGGATGTCGATTAGCTCCAGTTCGGATTTCGTTGCGAAAGGTTATACTCTTGCAGAATACTAATGAAGACAAGGGATATTATATGAATGTAAAGAATCATCGTTGTTCAATAAGTAACGTTTGATTGATTGATTTATTATTCTTACCTTTCGGTATATGATGAGGATCCAAAGGTACGATAAACATAAGAAAAAAAAACCAGTCATTAAATACATAAATAAAAGTTGTTTTAGTAGATTTTCAGTTCGTTCGCTGTTGAGCTTCAATACTTGACACCTTCTTCATCATTACTTAAGGATTTAGTTTTGTAAACACTGATCTTTCGCAAATAATTAGTAATTCCTCAGAATTTGAAAATTCCTGTACGATTTGGACAAATGTACGAGTTATTCTAATTGCGCCGTAACGCTTTCGGAACTCAACAAATAACGTACAGACTTGTTGCTAACCAAGAATTATTATCGAATGAAGTACTAAAAAGAATTCGTAAATAAATACACACCTTGATTGATTGATATCGTAGTTTGTGTAATATGAATAGATATTGTAGAATGATTATAGTTGCTCGAACATCATTATCAAACGATCGACATACTTATAATGAAAGAAAAAAGTTGAACGTAGAAAATAAATTATTTGAAAATGTGTAGCTTTAAGAAATAATATTTCAAAATTGAATCTTAATTTTATTAATAGACTACTTATATTTATTATTAATGATATGGACGAATAAAAATGCTTTATGATCATATCAATATCTATGAAAATAGTTATATTAATATCTTTTTACAATCGAGTGAAATCGATTCTATTCACATTTAAGTTGTTTATATTAGTTAGTAACCATGAAAATCCGTTAGGTTTAATTCATACATAACTAGTTATGTTTATGAAGTACTTCTACATTTTTTTTTGTATCCGGTACGTTCTTATCTATATATGGACAATTATCTATTCTTAAACATAATTCTTTTTAGCTTTTTTATCGCTTATCTATTGGAAGTACCTGATGATAAAGGTTATCATTCCTCAGTTGATGGTTTATTACTGTGATCATATTATCCATTTGATTAGTTTGTACTGAAAAATAAAGGAATAATCTATGACGTATGGCATATAAAGATTTATGTTAATAAATGATATACATTGATAATAGTGTATATTAATATATCGAATTCAAATAACGTAGATATTTTTGTAAGTGTAATGGTTACTAAATTTTTTATATTAAATATGTCGATTTTGATTTTATATTTCATTCTATTATTTATTCTAAATGACATTTTCTCATTACTAAATGCAAAAAGAAACTAAATATTTGCATTAAAAAAAAAAAATTAATGAATATCATGAAGAAAAATTTTTTTTTTTGAATAACCTATCAATCAAATATTGTTTTGTCAATTAATGTCAAGGTTTATAACGTTTGACCATCAAAATATTAAATAAAAACAAAAATGTACAAAGAAATAAATAAATCTATGTTTATTTCAAGGTCTTTTCTTTTTGCTTGGCAAGGATAGTCAAAACGTTAGACAGCTGGTTGATAATCAATGTCCTCGTACCATATCTGTTGTTCTGAAGCATATCGACAATATTTTTTATTATCGTTTTCTAATAATCAAATAAAATGAATACATATATATTGACAATGAAATGAATGTCAAAGAGAATGGTCTATATGAAATGATCCATAGCTTAATTGAATTAGCATTCAGTTTAGGTTGTTTGTTGTATTTCTCAATAATATTCTTTGTGTATGTATGTGTTTCTTTCTTAACATATATTATTTCTTTCTTTTTTCTATCTATTCCGAACTATTTCCCAGAGCTGAAACTTAGCATTGATGTGCGAATTTGTCTAATTCTTTGTTTTTCTTTCTTTTCCCTTCGTCTTGGATTACATCACTGGGCGTCGGATACATACTATGATAAATAGAAGAGTGTACGACTAAGTAACAACATACAAAGAAAAGAAGAAGAAGAAGACGAAGGTTGACGAAGACTAGAAAACGGTTGTGCTGTAGGGTAACTGGCTATCCTCAATCTTTTCATTGTTAATTGATTTATCATTCTATTACAATTTTCAACAAACAAAAACCATTAGAAGACAGATGGGGAGAGATAAAATAGAAAGACAAGGTAAAGATTGAAGAGAAGTGACACCAGTTAATGTAAAATAGACGCCACAGAAACAAACAATCAGCACTTACTCGTTGATGTATTTTGTATACTGTCGATTTCAAATCAATCAATGAAGACATATTTTAAACATCCATATGAAAAATCATTGGCGAGAATATTTTATTCATCGTTGGATACAGTTAATCACATTACATCGCGTTTCGATTTTCGTCAACGTATTGTACAACCATCAACCAAAGAACAACAACGCCTTTTATCACCATCTAGTTCACCACGATTGCAGCATGTACACTCGGGTAAATATGGTATAAAGCCTATTTGGCCTTCTGACAAATCAGTATGTGAACCATGGCAACAAGGCAAAAAGTCTAGTAAGGTAATAATAATATTTGAAACTCTAATAACATATACAAATTACGTCATATGCATACTGTTTGTATAGAATCTTACGGATAATTACATCGAGTTGAATAAGACTTCTCAACATCTATTTCTTTTATTGATCTCTTGAGATATTGAAGATAAATATATGAAAAAATTTTTAAAATGTTTTAAAATAGAAATTTTTTGATATAAATGAAAGAAACATGTCAAGAGCATAACATATCAAATTGGATTAGTAATTAAATATTTGTTGAAAAGAGAGTAATAAGTAATTTGTTTGCTTGTATTGTTCTCACAATAATATCTACTAATCTATTTCTAATTTGTCATCATAATCATTATTTTTCAAGGATTTTCTATTATTTATCAACAGTTATAGACAATGTCAGTTATTAGCATATATATATATATATATATATATATATGATTTCATCATTGATAAATTGTAAAGATTCAATCTATCCTATCAGCAATACGTGTTGTTAGATTGATTTGATGATTGATCGGTCAACCAGTAGATCAACCAGACATTCTGATGTAGACATAGAGATAAGTATATAAGAAAAAAGACAAAAAAAAAGCAAAAAGTTTCTACATTGTCGTTTTTATCTATTATCATTGATCGATAAGAAGAAGATATGAACTTCTCATCTGTCGTCTCGTGCCTTATTTTTCCACTTCAATCATAAGTAATAGTAACAAAACAAACACAGTTGTGTATATATGTATGTTAATGGGAAAAAAAGGCCATACTGTATTCGTCATTATAATATCTCAAAAATGCTGTAACACATTAGAGAAAAAAAAAGAGTTATATCTAGTATGATATTGGAGAACAAAACAAAAAAACAGAAAACATAATGCCTGATCGAACATCTATAAGAGGGGGAGGATGGTAGTTTACTATAAAGACCATTAACATATCATCATAGAGTGCTATGTATAGATAAGAAAAATGTTATCTTTGCACATTAGAGAAAGAAGCAAAATAAAATGCACATTATCATTTACACTTTGAATTAAAATGATATAAAACTCATTAGTAGTTGTCCGTATTTTCGTAGGCAATAAAAATGTTGCTAATGTATGTCATTTTAATTGAAAGAAGTATATTAATCAAAAAAAAAAAGATGCGAGAATAATGTTACAAATAAAAAAGAAAAGTTTTTAAATATCTACTAAATATTTATTAATAATAAATGAATTTAATATGAAAAATGATCGAGAAAGAATAAATGAAAGAAAAAAAAGTATTATTTATCTATGTAATCAAACTTTTATAGAATCGTTGGTCTTCAGTTGCATCAAAAGGTGACCGAGATCAATGTTTACATCCCAAGTCAGATTTACAGGTTTGTTAATTCTTTTTGAAATGAATTAAATAATCAATCAATTATAATTATATACTTGTTTAATAGAAGAAATTTACTCTTCCATCACTATCGACTGTGCCATATGTCGATCAATTAGATGGATCAATATTAATGTTAGCTTCTATTTCTTTGTTCCTTCTTCTTCTCATCTATATTGTCTATCAACGTCGATCTACGGAACTCAATCAAAAAAAACTTAAAGATAAACGACGTCGACAAAGTCTTGAAGATAATCTTCGTATTCATGAACCATTTAATTATCATTTACCAACTATTCGACTATTACCAACTATTACTGAAGAAAATTCTGCGGCATTATCTCCATCAAATATAACGAATAAATTAAATCCATTTGCAAATACAACGGAAATTACACCAACACCAGTTGTTACAGTTACAGGTTTAAGGAAAAAAAAATTTATTTTAATTTTTGTTTATAATTTGCCTAAGATATTGTGTTAGACTTTAACATATTGATTATTTTCTATTCTATTCTATTCTAGACGACAATGTCAATCGAAATTTATCAACTATACCATTAGATCAAAAGAAAATTTCAACAAATAAGAGCGATAATAAAGAAAATTTAGTTAAAATATCTTTGAATCAACCGAAATCTTCAATAAATAAAATTAATAATAAAGAAAATGTAGTTCAAATATCATTATTACCTAAAGAACAACAACAACAACAACAACAACAGCAACAACAAATAAAACCACCAAATCAACGACGTCGTTCACGATTTGAACAAGATTCAACTGTCGAAAAGTCACCAATAGAAAATTTATCAACTCCACCAGTAGTTGTTCGTACGTTCTATTTAAAATTCAAATATAAAAATGATTATAAAAGAAAATATTCTTTAGGAAAATCTTCTATTACACATGAACATGTTATTGGTGATGATTTTACATCATTAGAAGAAATTAATAAAGCTGTTAAACAAGTTGGTCTCGATCATTCACAACTTATTTTTGGTATTGATTATACAATCAGTAATTTAGAAACAGGAAAAGATTCATTTCATGGTTTTTCTTTACATAATATACAAGAGGGATTACTCAATCCATATCAAAATGTAAGAAGAATTTTCATTAAATTCTCGTAAAAAAAAACCCAAAGAAATTCATTGTCATAAAATTTCTTTTAAGGTTATTACGATTGTTGGACGAACTTTAGAAAAATATGATTCGGACACATTAATACCAGTATTTGGTTTTGGTGATCGAACAACACTTGATCGAAAAATTTTTCCATTACGTGTATGTTTATTTTTCTTATATAAATTTGATAATTACATATTTTTTTATTTTATTATCTATCTTTGTAGCCAGATGGTAGCTATTGTAAAGGTTTTCGTGGTGTTCTCGAAGCTTATAATGAGATCACACCGAAAGTCCGCATGTCTGGACCAACAAATTTTGCACCATTAATTAGAGAAGCTATCAAAATTGTGAAGAAAACAGGAGAAGTATGTTTATTGAAAGAAAAGATTTTTTTCCAATTTAAAAATAATAACTTTTCATTGTGTTTTTCTAATCGAGTTAACCAAGACAACAGAAAATTGACAATCAAGTTATTTTTGGTATATCTATTCTTGTATATATGATTGTTTAGTACTCAATCGTCTAAAAATAATTATAAGCAGAAGTTACAGTGTAAATCATAGTATCGTAATAAATTATGTCGGAAACAAGATTATAGTTTGATGTAGTTTTCAACACTTTCAACTAAAGACATACATCAAAATAAATGAATTCAAAGATCTTTAAAAATTCATTTTTATTTTTTCTACATAAAAAGAAAAAGAAAAAATAGTCTGAATTAATTCCATCATTCGAAATATTACTTATCATTCTAGTATCATATTCTTGTGATTGTTGCTGATGGTCAAGTCACTAATGAAAGACAAACAAAAGATGCTATTGTTGAAGCAAGTAATTATCCATTATCCATTGTTATGGTCGGTGTGGGCGATGGACCTTGGGATATGATGAAAGAATTTGATGATTCATTACCAACACGCCAATTTGATAATTTTCAATTTGTTAATTATAATAGTGTTGTTGAAGCATCAACAAATACGGATTCAGTATTTGCTCTTCGTGCTCTTATGGAAATACCTTCACAATATGCAGAAATAAAAAAACTTGGCCTACTGAAAAAAACTTGATTTGTATAGTCAGTTTTCTTCTTTGTTTCTTTTTTAGCACTTCTTTTTGTTCAAAAATTCTATCAAAGAATCGTGCACATACACAGTCATCAACCCAAAAGATACACTCACACACACACACACACACACACACAATACAATACAATATGTTTTACACAAACGTATATATTTCTTCATTGTCAATTGATATATTTCAAAATTAAATTCGATGTGTTTTTCGAATTTTTATTTAAAGTTTGTTTTTCTTTTGTAAATGTGAGTTTATGTTTTACAAATACATTAATCATCCCATAAAGATGAACAGTCATAAAGAAATTTTAAAGATCTTTTAAATAATGTTGCAACTTTGATCAAGTTGTATACATTTTTATCTTGTATGTTTTTTTTTCTCTGAACAAATAACGTCAATATTAAAAAAATATATAATGTAGTCGTTGTTTTAGTTGTAATAATTATAAAAATTATTGAATATATTTAATAATTTTTGAAAGAAAAAAAAAATTTTTCAAAATCTTTCAGCTTGTCATTTGGTAGAATGTGCAAAACACAATTTGTACTCAGTGACATACTGGATCAATGTGTGGTTATATACACAATTATTCTTAACAGCTAGTGACCTTTCAATACCATATGATACCTTTGATGATAATAATCAATAAATAAAATAAGAAACTGGATAAAATAGACTCTTGTTTAGATTGTTAATTAGTCTATTTCTAATGTCCAAGAAAAAAATGTTTATCTGATTTTTCTTTTTTTATCTTTGGCATTTTTTTCTTGAAGGTCAAATAGAATATTATTTATCTGGAATAGAAGTTTTGGAAACGTCATGTCATGATAAAAGAACGCTTATTATAAAGAGTCGCTTAGAAAATCACATTGACTCTGATAAAAACCAAACATGTCAGTTTGAGTCTTTATTGCTATAATACTTGAGTATGTAGTTAATGAGTTTTATACAAAGCCGATTGATAAACAGACTTTCTTTTGTCTGATTAATAAAAAGTTACCAAGATTTAGCTCATATCAACTTGTAGCTGTAGATATTGTCGTTAGGATTGTTGATGAAATCAACATTGTTAATGTTATTGTTGTTATTTTACAAGCTAGAATATCAATTATTATATAATATGTATTATGTATTGTTGTTTTTTAAGACTAGAAAATAAATCATTCTTTAAAATATATCTATTGAATATTAAAAAAAAATCGAATGATATGAAAAATTATCAATTACTGAAACTTCAAAATTCCTATTCACAATGACAATATTAGTTGTTCAAATGATTTACTTGTTGTATGAAAAACAATTCAATGAAATAAACATTTCTTGATGCAAATAGGATGAGAACAATTTAAATTTTTTTTTTTTTTATTTATTAGATAAACACTATATAGTACCAATAAAGAATGAATACATGAAAATATATAAAGGTAATATTAAGAGTAACTCCTCTTTTGGACTATTTCTGATCCTTCGTGAGATTAACTACAACTAGTCGGGTTCAAATTTTTACCACAGTTAGATTATCGAAAATGATGGAATCCATGTTCAAGAAGAATATTTTAAAAGCAGGTCTTTAGAAATCATCAGGTCTGCTTTCTTTTTGAGCTGATGCTTTTCGTATTTTTCTAATTTAAAATCAAGAAATTGATATTTTCAAAAAGCTTAAAAATAACTCTGAAATTTTATTCTAGGTACCTTCAGAAAAAATTTCAGTCCGATCGGACAAAGTAAGACCAAGGTTGTAAGCAGGCTCAATAGTTTTTAGAGACTTGTCTTTGAAATTTTTTCCTTAAACACTAGTCTCATTATATTTGATAATCTAACTATAGTAAAAAGTTGAACCCATCTGGTTATACTCTCGCAGAGAATCAGAATTAGTCCAAAAGATAGGAGTATTCTTAAATATTTAAATACAGTGATCATATTTTCTATACGAAATCTAACACTTAGATATTTTATTATCTGATAAGAAAGAAATGTAAAAATACATACTCGTCTCGTCTCTGTATCTATTTTTGCTGTATTGGTTACAATTGAAGACGTTGTACTCAATGACATAGATGAACGTCGTATTGTAAATCTTCAAAATACACAACCGTTAAGACAGGAAATTAGTTGTCTGTCAATAAACATCTCATTCAAAATATTAGTCTTTTCCATAACACAATATTGACTAACAGTAGCCATAGTGTATAAAAAAAGATTCAGTGAATGATACTTTTGCCAAGGCAATTAATTGTTAGAAATATTTAGATACATTCATGTTGTCACTGATTTCACGTCTATAAATTAAAATTATTTCATTTCAAACATAATTATACTAACTATCAAATGGAACACTTAATTGTATAAGATAATACAATGATTTGATGGCTAAATGTCAAAAACAGAGTGGCGAAAATCTAAATACTTTTTAGTCATAGTTTTCATCCTCATCATCACTGTTGTCTGTGTGCATCTACTTTTCCGTTTAAGGATCTGTTTTACTATGAAAGATATTTACTTAAATGTAAACATAGATTTATTATTTTAAAAAAACCGATTTCCATAGGCGTGCTGTGAAAGGGTTTCAATTTTACTCTAATACTGAATGCTATTCGTTTAAATTGGCATAATAAGACAAAAAATAAATCAAATGTATTCGAATCAAAATAAAATCTAGTAAATTATCGATAACGAGAATGACTATGCAATCACATAACATGTCGTCTTCATTTCGTCGTGTTTTATCAAATCAATAGATATAGAACTTTTTCTAATAGTTACATAAAGGTAGCTTTCATGAAAGCAAACGAATATTGAAAGTACGAAATCGAATTCATCAACATATGTTTTTGGATATTGTTTTCATATATATTGAATACAGACAGGCAATACGATAATATCCTGCATGATTGTCGATTTTCAGTTAAATAAAAAAGACAAGTCCATACAACGAATCATGGATTATTGATGTAACCTGAACTAGAACTAGCTTATAGCATTTTCGAGAATAAAACAAAAATTTGCCATCTATGATTGGAAAGGAGCAGATGAAATACTATGGAATTTGTCTTGCTTATAACAGTACAGAGACAGTTTATTCCGTTCTTTTTATTTTTTATACATAAATACACCTGCGAATGGAAAAGCTCTTGATATATACTATTATTCGTCTAATTCTGGCTTTATTTCTTTAATACAAAATCAAGTTTTTGAATTTTCATCACGTGTATTATTATCTTATTACTATTAAGCCAGATAGAGATTGTGACTTCTCAATGTATGTAAAGAGAATGAAACAATGGAAATCATCAAATAATTACTGATAGTAGCACTGAATATACAGGATGGGTCAAAAGTGGCTTTACCGAAGAAAAATTTGAGTATCTCCGTCATCTTTGGACCAAATGAACTGATTTTCTTATCTCTGGTAGGGAAGTGTTCATGAGTCATATCCATAAGAAAAACATTTCAAAGAACCTTTGACCTCAATAAAAATGTTAACTTTAAACAAGTTGAAAGAAGGAGTATTCATTCCTGATCCATAAAAAATGAATTACATCAAAACATTATTCGGATATTATAAACAAACCTCGAAAGTTGTTTAAAGTTATTAGATGGCGAAATGGCAGATGTCTAGAAAATAAAAGTAAAGTTTTCAAGGGGGTGATTTTCCGCCTAGTCCCTGAGGCGGACAAGAAATGAATTTTTCGACGAAAAAAAAAAGTTTCAGAAATTCTTTAAATTATACATAGACCTACTCAGTTTTTTGTGCTGATGTCAAATATTATATTAGTTTTGATGCAAATTGAACTTTTTCTGATCGAAATCTTCCAACTATTGCTTAAAAAGACAAAATTACACCTGGAAAATAGTGTAGTAAGGAGATTTTTAAGTGAGTAAATTCTTTCGACTTTGGAAAAACTATGATGTTGTAACTCTTGAAAAGATCTATCGAATAGATAAGATCGAAAAATATGTTCAGTCGAATATTGAAAACTAAAATGCTTTATAAAACTGTATGTGTATTCGATATGTCACTGCTAAATGTATGGTATTTTGCCACATGACTGAAAGTCTCTTAAATCCTGTAGTAACACATTGAATTTAGTATCTAAATGTCGGCCTTAACGGATACTTTTATTCCATATCTGATTCGACTTGATTGAAAACAAAAAGTTTGGTAAGTCGATTTGAGGTCTTATGCGCCTTCGTCCTTTACAGTTTCTGCTAAATTTGTTTTACGTTGCCAAACAACAACTTGAATCTTCTTCTGAGTGTACATGTCTGTCGTACTGGTTATTGCCAATTTACATCAATTCAAAAATCAATCTTTTGATCACAAAAAAAGTTTTACATTATTTTTTTATCGAACTAGTTTTTCTTTCAATATTTTCTTCATTGAAATTATCTAATATTATTTTGTATATTTCTTCTATGATGACGCTTTTCAAGAAACAAAAAAAAACAATTTTTCGAATTTTAATCCAATTGTTTAACTTTCAAAAGTTAGTTGTTATTGTACTGGTTCTTCATTATCATCGAAGGTTTTTAATAGAGAAAAACAATTTCACATTACTTTCTAAAATCCAGACAAATATTCGATTTAAAGTGGATGATCTTTTATAATCTAATTCGCTGTATTTATACACGCACAGTTTTTTTTAAAGCAAAAAAAAAGAAGGGTAGCAGTTTATTGAAGTTCTTTACGTAATCTAAATCCAGGTTCTTTGGGAGGTTCAGTTAACGAAGTGAGTGTACCCAATGGTTCAGCCGCATAACGTTTTGATCTTGGACCAGCTTTTGACTTTCCATCTTTTTTAATTTCATCTAAAATATCGCTTATATCTTTTTCTGTTAAATCTTCATAATAATCATCATTAATTGATAACATTGGTGCATTAACACAAGCACCAAGACATTCAGCTTCAGATAATGTAAATAAACCATCAGATGTTGTTTGACCAACATGTATATCTAATTTTTTTTCAATTGTTTTTAAAATTCCATCCGAATTACATAACCAACATGGAGTTGTTGTACATACTTGTATATGATATTTTCCAATTGGATTTCGATTAAACATTGTATAAAATGTCGCAACCTAAATTGAAGAAAATAAACAATCAGTAAAACGTTTTCTTGTTGATGTTTTTCATATAAATCTACCTCATAAACACGCATTCGTGGCATTTTAAGAACTTCAGCTACTTTATTCATTGCTGCAATTGGTAACCAACCATTATGTTGTCGTTGTGCAAGATCAAGTACTGGAATAACAGCTGCTGCTTTGTGTCCTTCAGGATACATAGCAAGAATAGATTGAACTCGTTTATAATTTTCAGGTGTAAAATCAAATTTAATATCAAGATTATTTTTTGGTGTATCACGATGAACAAATTCTTTATCCGAACCTAAACGATAAGAACTTGTCGAAATACAGCGGCCAAGAATAGAAGATGATATGGCCAATGATTGCCGATTAAATAACTTGCGAACAAGCATCTAAAATATATAGAATTTTTATATAATTAGAACTAGTAAACAACAAAAAACAGAACAAAATGAAATAAAAAATAGTTATTATTTGATGGATAAATCTAAGAAAAAAAATCAAACCAATCAGAAGGAATCATAGATGGTGTTACTTAACAGACAATAAGAATCTTAATTGTATTGTCCTACAACTCAGTCAGGCACACAGCCTGGCTCCAAGCATGAGTCAGGATGCAAACGAACTGGATCGGGTCGAATCTCGGGTATGATCTTATTCCCAGAGTAGACTTGTCCATTAATGAGATCTCGACATTTTAAAATATTTCTACTTTTTCAAACTGCTAATTCATACATAGGTATAAGAGTGAAAACCTGAATAATTTATTGTACTTGAGAATAGGTTACAGAAGTAGAGAGCGATATTGTTTTATTTAAAAAAACTCATTTTGTAATGAAAATTCACCTACATAGAGTAATGATGAACCATATGACGAAGTAACTGAATTAGTGTGACCTTCGGAAACGATTTTTCTCGATATAACTGCTATCAACGTCATACATTACACAACGTCATATGGCCTTAAATTAAATTTAAAATTATCATTGGAGAGATACATTCTAGTAAAATAAATCAATTATTATTTACACATCAAAATTTATTAAATGTCAAGTTATGAGAATTATTTCCTTCATCAATCTGAACAATTGAAAAGAGCAAAAAAACAAGAGATTAGCACGTCAACAACACTGATGAAAAACAAAAACATTCGAGATGAAAAGAAGATAATCTAAATAATAATCCTTTCAAAGATAATAATCAAAAAAAAAAGTTCTATTAGTGATAACTGAATTATAAATTCAATGAATAATCAATGCACTTGTCTAATTTTTGTTGATATGTGTATTTGTTATTTTTCTTTTAATTAATAAGCGATGAAAAAGTCATTGGAAGAACTCTATGAAAGAAACTAAATGATATACTTTTTGCATATAAAATAAATGCTGCGAAAAGTCATACCCATGTAGGACATTAGTTTAGTTCTGTATATTATTATTTTTTATTTTATTGAATAATTTATTTTTTTTGAAAAAAAGATGAAAATTTCGACAATAGATTATTTTCTATCATTGATGTATGTTCGATGAAAAATAAAGAAAATTATTATTTATTACAAGGAAACTATTTTCTATAATTGAAGTTCTAATCTATTTTATCATTATAATAAAATATTTATCCATCTGTAATACATCCATTCGATGCTGATTGTACACATTGTACATATTTTCGTAAATATCCTTTTTTAGGTATATTTGCTTTGACAGGTAATTTCCATTGAGTACGTCGTTCATTTAATTCATCTTCTGTTACATGTAAATTAAGTGTACCATGACCTCCATTTGATGTTAATTTTACTGAAATAATATCACCATTTTTTACTAAAGCAATTGGTCCACCGACAGCTGCTTCTGGACAAATATGACCAACAATAAATCCATGTGATGCTCCACTAAATCGTCCATCAGTAATTAATGCACAATCTTTACCAAGACCTGCACCCATAATCGTTCCTGTTGGCTTAAGCATTTCAGGCATACCAGGACCACCACGAGGACCTTCATATCGAATAACAATAACATATTTTTTACCTGTACCTTTACGAATATCACCACGAACAAAACTTTCAATCATTAATTCTTCACTATCATAGACAAGTGCTTCTCCTTCAAACCAAAGACCTTCTTTACCAGTTATCTTAGCAACCGCACCATCGGGAGCTAAATTACCACGAAGAATTTGAAGATGACCACTTGCTTTTAATGGACGATCAATTGGATGAATAAGATCTTGATTACCTGGACCAGGACCTTGACGTACAGTTGATGGCATACCTTCGATAAAACCCAAATCACGACATTCAGCCAAATTTTCAGCAAGTGTCTTTCCAGTAACTGTCATTATATCACCATGAATTTTACCTTGTGAAAGTAAATATTTAAGTACGGCAGGTGTTCCACCAATTGAATGTAAATCAGCCATAAGATATTTGCCAGATGGTCGAAGATCAGCAATATATGGAGTACGACGTGAAATTTCTTGAAAATCTTCTAAAGCTATTGGAACATCAGCTGCATGACCCATAGCAATTAAATGAAGTACAGAATTAGTTGAACCACCAAGAGCATTAGTCTATTGAAAATTGTTTAATATAAAGAAATAATCATAAAATGTTTTACTTACCACAGTAATAGCATTTTCAAATGCTTTTCGAGTCATAATATCTTTTGGTTTAATATCTTTTTCAAGTAATATACGTATTGCTTCTACAGCTCGTTTACATTCAGCTAATTTAAGTGGATTAGCAGCAGGTGTTGATGAACTATATGGTAATGAAAGACCCATGGCTTCAATAGCTACAGCCATTGTATTAGCAGTATACATACCGCCACAAGCTCCCTATTAAACAAGAAAAAAAGTTCAAATAAATGCTAGAACTTCAAAAAAATAAAAATAAAAATAAATGAATACCTCGCCTGGACAAGCATGTCGAACAACATCTTGTCTTTCTTCATCACTTATTTCTCCTTTAACATATTGTGCATAAACTTCAAATGTAGATTCAATATCAATAGTTCGTGTACATGAACCTAATGTTGTATGACCAGCTCCAATTGTTCCACCATAAATCATCAATGCTGGACGATTAAGTCGAGCCATTGCAATAACAGATCCAGGCATATTCTTATCACAACCAGGTATTGTTATAAGACCATCATACCAATGTGCACTCATAACACTTTCAATAGAATCAGCAATTAAATCACGTGATGGTAAAGAATATGACATGCCCGCTGTACCCATAGATATAGCATCACTAACACCTATTGTATTAAAACGCATACCGACAAGATTATTTTGTTCAATGGATTCACGCATTGATGTCTGTACACAATTAGCTAAACGAGCTAAATGTATATTACATGGATTTCCCTCGTACCACATTGAAACAATACCAACTTGAGCTCGAGCCATATCGGGTTCAGTAAGACCCGTAGCATAGAGCATAGCTTGAGCCGTTCCATATGCTTTATCTTGAGTTAAATGTGAAGAATATTTATTTGACGGCATGTTAGGTTAAGACAAACAAAATAAAATGATAAATGTTGGCGTCTTCTCACCTTAAAAGTATACAATGCGATCAGATAACTATTATTTATTCTTATCGCGAGAAGAGAAAAAGGAGACAAAAATGAAAAGGCCAGATATAGCTCGATTAAAAGAATCGTAATTACATATAATAAAGGTTATATCATCACACAAATGTTATTTTTTAACTTTCTTTTTCCATAGAGATCTTAATAGCTTTCACTATCGTTGTCGATACTTCTGTAGAAAAATAAGTCGGACTGTATATAATAATAAGAATTAATTTCGTTTTTTGTATTTTTTCATATTCACACACTTTTTTCATTCATCTTCGACATCAATAACTAATTATAGAAGTGAAATATACATCTTCATCATCATCATCATAAAAAGTCCTGTACTATGATTTATATAGATTCTTTAATCGATATGAGAATTAATTAGTATATACAGTGTTCTGTTATAAAAATAAATTTAAGAAAACAAATTCTTTGTCAATACCTTTCATTAATTAATGAGAAAATGAAAATATTTGTAAGCTGATATCGAGCACTGGTGGTTCAGTGGTAGAATGCTCGCCTGCCACGCGGGCGACCCGGGTCCGATTCCCGGCCAGTGCACTCTTCTCTTTTTTTTTCGTTTTCATGATAAAGCTATATAAATATTTAGTTATTGATAAATTCAAATGTTGTTTTTGTTCTTCTTTGCTGAAATAATAAAACATTTCATATCGTATTTTTTTTATATAATTACAGTTCATTTTATTTTTTTTTCTGATGGCACTGATATATATATATGTATCTATATATATATATATATATGAATATGTATACTTCGAAAGAAAGAAAAAAAATTAAAACATTAGAAGACAAACGAAGAAAGCAAAAAAAAAAGAGGAAGTGAAAATAACATCATCACGATGTAGCAACAGGTTGATGTAGAATGTTTGTTGTCGATGTTGTTAATGAATCTGTATTAATACCAATAGTTTGTTTTGTTGGTGAAACCACCGGTGATGAATGTCTATTTATTAGACTAGCTATGGACGGTAATGGTGAAATTTGTTGATGTTGTTGTTGTTGTAAATGTGAACTTGTACCTTTTGTAAACATATCTACAATTTCATATCGTATATCAGTTATTGGTGTTAATGTTGTTGATAAGTTATCTTTAGTTGTTGTTAATAAATTACATGGTTGATCAAGATAAAGATGTCTTGTTGTATTATAATCAAGTAAATTTTCCGAACGTGTTGGTATTGATGTTGGTAATGTTTGTAATAAATTTGTTGTTGGTATTGATGATAATTTTCGTTTTGATGGTTTTGACCTTTGACGTGTTGTATTTTTTCGATTATTTAATAAGATAATTTTCGAATCGACTGTATCTGAAGAAATAAAACAAAAAAAGAAAATTTTCTATTGTGAAAAATAAAAAATATATATATTTTAGTCATAATAAGCAGCAAAGCATTATTTTGTTTTTTTTTTAATCGCTATTTATTTGCAAACAAAACAAAGCAAAGCACATATTTAGCAAACAGCAAATGTAAAACACTCACATGAATTGTTTATATTAGTTTTAATTCCATGATGATGATTATTATTATTATTATTATTGGCATCGAAATCATCATGTCCATTAATTAATTTTTTTTTTGTTACATGTAAATCATCATCATCATCATCATCATCAAATGTTCGATACATTTCAGCTTCAGAAGCTGTACAAGTTGATATTGAACGATCAATATCAGAACATGTATCGAGCCATGTATCAACATCATGTCCTTCAGAATTTAATTCAGTTTTAAGTACACCAAGACGTTTTTGTAATTCAATATTATTCGATGTTAATTGGGCAATTTCTTTTTCATATTGACGTTCTTTTCGTGTTAAAGCCTAATATAAAAAAAAAAAAAAATTTTGTTTCTTCGTTTTTTTTTTGTTTCGCAAGAAAATAAACAAGCAATTTTACTTGAATATATTTAATAGCCATATTAAGTACTTGAAGATTTGTTATTTTTCGATCTCGTTGACATGGTACTTCGGCTTTGAGTGAATCAAAGCAATCTTTTAAATGAGCTCGTCTAAAAAGAAAAATATGATGCAACATTCAATTTTATTTTATTTTATTTTTTTACTATTAGAAAAGTACCTTCGAGCTTCTTTTGGAGATACCATCAAGGAAAAAAAGATAGTGATAATACAATTTTTATTCCACTATTCAATACACATGACTATCGCTAGCCAATAAGAGATTTATGAAGTTTTTTTTTTACGTTGTTTTTTTTTATTTGTTTTGAAACTTTAGAAAGATTTTTCAATCGAAGGGGATTTTTTTTATTTTATAAATGATAATAATAGATGTCGCAACTTACCGATGTTTTTCTAATCGATTATGTATTTCACGATCACGACATGATGTTTGAGCACTAAAGAAAAAGTTTTTATGAGAAATAAAAAAAATTTATCTATATTGAAATATTACCGATTAGATATTTCACTGTTTCTATCTGCACTTGGATTATTTTGATCAATATCATCATCATCATCATCATCATCATCGTCATCATCTTTGTTTTGATTAGTTTTATAATTTTGTTGAATTGCATGATTAAGATGATGTAAATTAAGATTAAGATCAAGTTGAAGTTGTTCTGTAAGATTTTCAGTTTTAATTAATGATAATGTTGGTAATATTGTTGTTGAATTTGTATTTACTGTTGTTGATGAAAGAACACTTGTTGGAATATGATGATGGTGATTATTATTATTATTATTATTATTAGGAGTTTGGCGATCGCCTAAAATTTTTTATTCAAAAATTAAATAATATTATATATAGTATAAATGACATACTCCACCACATCATGAAAATACATATACACTCGTTAAGATATAGATAAGAGTAAATATGTATGTATGCTGTGACGATTCTATCTCTTCTTTTTCCAATCACTCACTATATATATATATATGGACGGCCGTCTGTCCGTCTCAATAAACAAGTCGTCAGGCAAAAGATGACGAAAGAGAAGAATAAGAAGGAAGAAAAAGGAAATGAATATGACACGCACGCACATGCATTTATATGTCTTCGCGTCATTGAAAGATTTATATACATACAATAGGATATCTGTTTTATATTATTATTTCGGAATATAGTTAAAAAAGAACAAGAAATGTTTATAGTTTTCTTCTCAAGATATATATCTTTTATATATTTCATTGAAATAAAAACTAAAGAATTTCGTTGTAAAACTTAAACACTCACTTTGAAACGATACCAATTCACATTGCATATCTATTGATAATTATAAAACCCAAAAAAAAAACGAAAGCAAAAAAATGGAGTCTTCTTATATATCAAAAAGAAAAAGAGTAATTGACGACAAGAAAAAATGATTGGATTGAATGCTCGTATTGACGCACGTCACACATGAGCGAATTTTTCCTGCTTTTACTATTACCGCTACTTTATGCTACACGTCTATAAATTATGATTACTATAGCCATATTATTGATCGAATGTGTCATTACAAAAACAAAATATACATTATAAAGACATGACTCTTGAAGAGAAATATGAGCTACCTGTCTCAATCAACCTTAACGAAATGGGGAAACAAGGACAATTTTTATTCAAGTTTAAAATAATCAAAACAAATCTTTTTTTTTTTGTTGTTTTTTCTTTTAAATTTTATTTAATATATAAAAAACAAAAAACTAATGTAAAAAAATATCTTTTATAACTATTCTTTCTGTCTACAGATATGTTTACATAAATTGATTGTTAGCCACGTGCATGATTCATTCATTCATTATACACGTGGGATTCTCTATGTCTTATGATCCTACTAACATGAGAGAAGAAGAAAAAAAAATCCGAGACTAAGTGAGTCACACTCACCTCTGACTAGCCGTTTTTTGGGTGGTATTGATTGTTGACTTTCCAAAATTTGTGCAGCTTGTAGCAATGTTTCAATATTCATCATCGATATGATTATTTTATATATGGTATGTATTAAATATATATATAGATATAGATATATAATATTATTTCGAAAACGATTTTCTTTTCTTTTTTCAAAGATATCAAATGATAATAATAACGATGGATGAATAGATGAAGTTGGTTAAGAAGAAAGAGAAGAAAAAAAAAACATATACACAGACACAGAAAACAAAAAGTAATCAAACTATATTGTATTGAAGATTGAATGAAAAATTGTTGATGTCGTTGTTATTTCTACTTTTGTTGCTGCTATTACCACTGCTGCCATTCGATTCTTTCAGCTGCGTAAAGCATGTAGTCGTCGACTGTCGATCGGTCGTGCGGCGCACTCATGATGTTGGCATTGTAGAAGAAGAAGAAGAAGAAAAAAAAAAGAGAAGAGAAAGAAGAAAAACGTGGGCACAGGCCATGCAAACATACAAACACGAGAAAGAGAGAAGAAAAATGCGAGACAACACCAACAAGCAATGAGGAAAGAAAGAGAGACATGAGGGCATAAAAATACAAATGATGATTTGCGTATGTGTATGTGTGTGTGTGCTCGAGAATCAAGAAAAGAAAAAAAAAGACGTCGATACAGCGACACACAAAAGCCACGAAACAGTGTGCGTGTCAAACAAAAAAAGAGGAAGATGTAAAAGAAGAAGAAAGAAAGAAAAGAAAGTGAATATAGATGTGTATACAACTAAAGGAGAAATTTACACGTGTAATATTTGCACCAGTTATTCTCCCTTTTTTTTCTTTATTATTCGACTCTCAGACGTTTGAGACGAACGAGTAGAAGTTACTCGTGTTATATATATATATATATGTTTGTGTGTGAGTGATATGAAGAATTGCACAAAATTGGGAGTGAAAGGGAACAACAAACATATGGAATGTAAAAATGCAATAGAAAGAAGAAAGTTTAGCATACTTTTTTTCCTTTTTCCTTTTCTTTTTTTTTTGTGTATTAAACTAACGGTGACAATCGACTCAGTTTTATGTCATACGTTTCTAGACACTCGTAAAATTGATCGGCAATTAACTTTTTTTCCTTGGCCATTGACAACAATATAAACTTTCAACAATCAACTCATTACCATTATAAAAATGGTCTTTTTTTTTTGTATTTCTCTTCTTTTTTCTTTCTCTCAAATTTCTTTAGAAATTTGTCATACACTCGTACTAAATAAAGGACAAGTTCATCGTCATTCTTCTTATGTTACCGTTGTTTTTTTATATCAGACTAAACATACTTACATTTCATGTCAGTATCAAGAAATTTTACTAAGACATCATGACATTTTATGTCTAAATGAATAAATAAGAGAAAATTAATGTTTTTCTTTCATATTTTAATATGAAACTATTCATGTCTAAACGTTTTCTTATTAGTCTTATCAAAGATTTCATTGATTAATGACAATAATAATACTAGCAAAGAAAAAAAAAAACATGAATATTATTGATAATAATAAATCTTTATTTAACCAAAGATTCAAATTTCTATTTTCATTAATATTTTACTTTTCGTTTTCAAAATTAAATTAAAACTAGAGAACTTCAAAATAACATTTTATTACATAGAAAGTAATGCAAATGTAACATGTAAAGCAAAACACATTTCAAGGATTCAAAATAATATTTTTAGATAAGATAGTATTCTTTTAAATTAAAGAGTAAGCTGTCTAGGCGCTTCTATTATACTAAAACAGTTGCTGTATATATTTCAAAAGTTATTTTTTTCTATATATGTCACTCTATGCTAGAGACTGTCGAGTCGAACATTTTTGAACACGAATCTCAATCGTACTTCTAATTTCAACGAAATTTTTTAATCTGACTCTTCAAATCACTCCGAAGATGCAAGATACTTTTTATCGATTATTTATATTTTCGTAATAACACATTCTACACATTTCTTAGATAATCTTAACGATGATCGCCTGTTTCTTGCCGGGTATGAATGATTTGGGTCGGTCATGAGTTCAAAACAAGCTCTACTGTTTCTACTTCATGCTCAATGTTAATCGACTTAAAGGAATCTATTTTTATAAGGTCAAACTATCATTTTTTATAACCCTCGATATATTTTAATAACAAAGACAAGATTTTGCACCATAAGGTTATATAATTTTCTCTTTCTTTCATTATTAACTTTATTGAATAAAACATGTCTTTCTATAAATAGTATTTATTCCAAAAAAAGAAATTGAAAAGAACAAGATAATAATTTATGAGTATTTAAAAAAATAAAATCAAAATAAACTGTACTTATTTTCATTGTTACTCTTTTTTTTGTCTGTTATCTTTTTATACATAAAAGAATAACTATGTTCATATAGAAAAAAAAAAGTTATAAATCTGACAAAAAATATTCGGCATGAAAAAAATAAAATATAAATAAATTGGTTTCATTTTTTATCATATACAGATATTTATTGCTCTAATTCTTTATTTCGTTTTCGAGCATGACGTACAATAAAATGGCCATTTGAATTAATTATCCATATATAATTTTCATTTATTAAAGTCCATTGTCCATGTTCTCCATATGATTGAAGCATAAGAAATGGATAATCTGAAGCCATACGTATAGATTCTCCTGAATAAAGTTTTTGCATTCGTCGATCAAATAAATCAATACGCCATTTACGATGATGTTTTAATCTTATAAGTAATGCGATAGTACCCATCGATGGATGTGCTCGAATTAATTGGATAAATTTATCTGTATTATATATATCAATTAAATCTGTACGTGACCATGTTCGACATAATGTCCATGATGGTAAGCAGTAACGATAGAGAACATCTTGTCGACAAAGAATATATGTATCATAACCAAGTACAGTTAATGACCAAAAACGATCATTTAAAGATGGAGAATTTAATTCAACTATTAATTGATTAGATTGAAAAGAATAAGAACATACAACATCATCACCTAATATTAAAAATGAATTTATATATTTTGACCAACAAATATCTCGAATGCTACCATAGGTATCACTAGGCCAAATAATATCATTTAGTTTTGATGTTGATAATGTTAGATCAAATAGAAGAAGTCGATCAGTACCACTATTTAATAAAAGTAAACAAGTATCTGATATAGCTAAACATGATGCAGTATTTATCTAAATTAGACAAAAACATAAATAATGATATGTTGAAAAAAAAAAGAACTGACTTCAGATGGAATATTATGATTCAATGAACAGCATGTCAATTCGCATTCATTTGTATTTGTCAGACATATTGACATAACTGTAGTATATTCTATAAAATTTTGTAAGATAGTCTTGTGATTTTCTAAATAATATATGCTTCTTTCTTTTTGATTCTTTATCAAACAAATGGATAAGTATATTTGTCTTATGACAAGGTGAAAAATCATGACGTCATCTAAAAATCTCCCTTCGATATGCAAAAAAAACCTATGAATTGTTGCGAAAGCTGGTTTTTTGATCGGTTATATTTTTTTGCTAATAAAAAAAAAAGAAGAAAACATTAGACGCTCATGCGTTTTGTTTTATGTGCTGTGTGTCAACTGTAGTTCGAAAAAAAAGAGTTGGGAAAAAACAACCACACAACACACAGTTGCCTAGAAGAAAAAGAAAACGAAGTGACTAAATAATCGCATAACAGTAATAACAAGAATAACAACAAGTGTCATCGTCATTCTTTGATTTTTTTTTATTTAGGCCATATTCATTGCTTTGGCAGCATTCGATGGTTCAGCCGATGATTTTGGTACTTTTATTGTTTCATCAACACTTAAAATTAAACAAGCTGCTTCACTTGCTGCTGTTATTGCATTAATTTTAACAACAGCTGGTTCCCAAACAGCTGCAGTAAAATTATCACTAACATCTTCATGCATGATATCAACACCGAACCACATATGATCTATAAAAGAAAAAAAAACAAAAGCTCATTATACAAATTAAATCTTTTCTTTTGTTTTTTAAATTACTTTCAGCATGTTTTTGTCGAAGTTTATTTAAAATATTTGTTGCATCAAATCCAGCATTTTCACATAATTGTCTTGGTATAACTTCAAATGCTTTAGCATATGCAGCAATAATTAATTGTTCTTTACCAGGTACAGTTCGACTATAATCACGTAAAGTACGACTTAATGCCATTTCAATTGCACCACCACCAGCAACAATTGAATCATTTTTAACAGCACGTCGTACAATCATAATAGCATCATGTAATGAACGTTCAACCTCATCAATAAATTGTTCAGCACCACCACGTAAAATCATTGTAGCTGTTTTAGCTTTTGGACAACCAGTAAAAAAATTATAACGTTCCGAACCAATTTGAATTTCTTCAAATATTTCACATGTACCCATAACTTGTTGAGATTGTTCATTAAGATTTTCAACTGTTGTTATTATTGCACCACCACATGCTTTTTGTGTACGTTTAAGATCATCTTCTTGTACACGACCAGCACAAAACATGTCACTTAAAAAAACAAAAAAAAAAGAAATTTTTGTTTTAACGAAAATTATTCAATAAATATTATTTTACCGATCAGCAAAATATTGTGTTGCAACATCACCAATTGGTAATTTAGAAAGTACAACATTAACACCAGCTGTATGAAGTTTTTCAAGTTTATCATAAAGAATTGACCATTCAGCATCAACAATTTTTTGATATTCCTATGGATAGATTTTAAATCAACAAATAATATAAAAAAAAAACATTACACAAAAAATCTTACAGCAACATTATCAAGACGAATTTCAGCATTATCACGTTCAGCTTTAAGTTCAAGTTCAATATTAAGTAAAGCTATTTTTGGTTTTAAAAATTTTTTATGTTGCATTTCAAAACCAGCATAAGAAAATGTTTTTTTAAATGCAACACCATCAACAATACGTGACTCCTAAATAATTCAAAAAAAAAAAAACAAAGTGTTTTATCTTATTCAATAAAATTCTCTACCTCAAGTGAACCACCTGTTACTTTTTTAATACCAATCCTTAAAAAAACAAAAAAAAGCCAAACCAAAAATTCAAATAATTATAAATAAATTTTAAACATACATATTCAATGGAAGTAATTCATCTAACATAAGTACAGCATCAACAACCATTTTTGAAAAAAATTCTCTTTGTCGTGCAATCAGTTTCGAACTTAATGTTGTTTGAGCACATTTTTCAAGTAAAGCTCGATGTTCTCTAAAAAAAAAACATGAATTATTAGTGCAATCCCTGGAGGACTAAAATATAAAACACGATGTAATTGCTCTTGCTAATCATAGGAAGATTCCATTTATTTTGAGGCACATTTCTTTATCATCCGTTAGAAACATAATAAAGAAACATTGCATATATCGGATGTCTAAAAGTCATTTTAACGACAATGTCGCTGTGTTTTGACCACATGGACTGATTTTTTCATCACTGATAAAGGTATGTTTATATTCATAAGAAAAACATTGACAAAAACTGTAAACACATTATTGATATATGGTCGTTAATCGATTATCAAGAATGTCTGTGGAAGGTTCACAAGCGTTTATAAACTACAAGTCAATTATTGGCTAAAGAACAGAATATATGTTTCTCTTCTTGTCCTAGAACCTTTTTTGTAAAATCTTCTGTGTGTAACCGTCAAATTCTTTATATCATTTCTTCAAGAAATAGCAATAAAAAACGTTCTTACACACAGCAACTATATATGACATGCGTAACTTTACATTATTATGTCTCGATGAAGAAATCTTGATAATTCTATTTACTTAGAATATATATGTCAGATTGCCAAACATAAAACTATAAACATTGCTTCAAGTGGTATTATGAAAAATATATATAAATCTTCCTCTACAAACACCTTTTTCTGTGGTCAAAATCTTATTATCATTGTTCTATTTTATATACTTCAACATTCGTTTTAAATCATGTTTCACAAACAAACAAAATTTCATTCTTACTTGGCATCATCCGATTTAACATAAACAGCAATTTCTTTAACTTTTTTTGTAGCTAATGCTGTTGCTTTACGTATAGCCCGAATAATAATTGTTGGATGCATACCATCTTCAATAAATGTTTTAGTATTTTTTAATATTTCAACTGTTAATAAAACAACTGATGTTGTACCATCACCAACTTCTGCATCTTGTGATTTAGCTATATCAACAAGTGTACGTGCTGCTGGATGAATAATTTCAAGTAATTTAAGAATTGTTGCACCATCATTTGAAATTGTTGCTTTACCACGATTATCAACAATTAATTTATCCATGCCACGTGGACCTAATGTTGTACGTATAGCTTCAGCAACAGCTTGACATGCACTTATATTTGATATTATTTGTGATTTTCCTTGTGATGAATCAGTACCTTCTTTAAGAATAATTATCATTGGTTGCATTTTTTAATAATGATGATGAAAAAATTCTTTTTTTCTTTTGTTTTTTTTTGTTAATCTGAAAAAAGAAAACTTTTAATTTCTAAATCATACTCAGATTATTTTTTTTGATTTATTTGGACACACAATCTACATCGAAAGACTGTTCAGGCAAATAATTTTATAAAACAAGGATGACAATATGGTTTATTTTGATATTCTTTAAATGTACCATTTTGTAATTGTCGTGTACAATATGAACAAATAAAATGTTCAACATGATATTTTCTACCCATCGCTGTTATACAACGACCACTAAAAAAAAATAATAGAAAATTTAAAAGAATATAAAAAACGCAAAGAAAAAAGAATATTTAAATACAAACCCAATTGGTTTTTGACAAGATGAACAAAGTGAACCACGTCGTTGATGATAATGTAATTCACATAGTGGTTGATGATCATGTTCATAAAATGAACCAGTTAAAAATGGTTGAGAACATTCCTAAATTTATAATAATTTAACCTTTTGTTTTCGGTAAAAAAATTGAAATATTAATACATCTTTTTTTTTCAGACAAAAAGTTAGAAGAAATTTTTTTGAATAACATTCGATAGAAAGACGATAGACACCTTCAGGCGTCACTGTTTAGAAGAGTAATATCAAATCAGCTCGAATTTATTTAGTTCAGCAGGGACCATTAAGATAAGTTTTTGAAAACGATTTTCTAGAAAACTATCCGTTTGTATTTTGGTTTAACCTGTGATCATTCGATAGAACAAATTGTTCGTTTTTGATCTACGTAATTATTCTGTTCAAGAGTTATAAGAATTTTCTAGAAATCCCGATTTCGGTCTAATAATCTTAGACCAATCTAAAGAGGCCAAGACAAGGATAATGTTTGGATATGTAGCGGAGCCAGACCATTAATATTATCTAAAGTAACTTTAGCTAGAACATATTCCGAACTCTACAGATCACGTATAATATATATATATAACGGGCGCGGCAGAATAAATGGCCCTCTCAGTATTTTAACTAGAACATTTCTTCTTTTTCTCCTTTAGAGCTGATTGTTTTTCCAAAAGATACGCCTTTAAATTCTCTACAAAATCATAATCAAACTTATTTTTGTAGAAAGTGAAGAAAGAAAATTAAGCGAAAATTATTCAACACATAAAAAATACCTAACTCTCCAAACTATTTGATGTTCCATAATGAATGGCTAGTATTTAGACGTTTGCATCTCTTTTTTTATCATCTAGCACGTCTATTTTGAAAGTAAAGTATACCATAAGATGCAGTATGAAAAGCTCTACAAGTTACATTAAAAATCTTATTTTATATATGCATTCTTTGTTTTCAAAATGGGCAAAATTCTGTACGACCAATTTTCGATGCTGCAAACAGGATCATTTGTTGGTCGCACAATATTTTGCTTATTTTAGAAACAAAAGGTGTACATATATAAAATAAATTGTTCTTTGTAAATTGTAGAGCTTTTCGCGCTGCATTTTGTGGTATATTTTGTTTTCTTTTGTTAAAGCCTATTAAGTGATAAAAAGATGAGTTAAGAAAAAACGAATTCGTAGTGTAACAAAAAATGATCTTGTTTGGAGCGTCAAAAATTGGGCGCACAGAATTTTGTCCATTTTAAAAACAAAGAATGCCTATATAAAATAAGATTTTTAACGTAACTTGTAGAGATTTTCAAGCTGCATCTTATGGTACACTTTGCCTTTAAAATAAACATGCTGAATAATAAAAAAAGTGATACAAATATCAGCCATTCATTATGGAACATCCAATAGCTTAGAAAGTGGAGTCATTTTTATGTGCTATATTATCTCCTTTTAATAGTTTTCCCTTAAGTTTCTACAAAAATAAGTTTGATTATAATTTTGTAGAGAATTTAACGGCGCATCTTTTGGGAAAATAATCAGCTCTAAAGGACAAAAAGCAAAAAAATTATAATTAAAATACTGAGAGGGCCATTTATTTTGCCGCACCCGTTATATATACTCCAAGGCAAAAGTCTCCCTTTTCTCCGCATTCTTTTCATATAGAACTCATTGGTCTCAAGTGAATGTCAGTTTAATTGAACAACACTACGGATGAGTTGGTTGACAGAATGTTTCACAACTATGTTGTCTGTCTGTTTTTTTTATCCGCTAACTGTTTTACTAGTTTGAATTATTAAACTCTCTTCGTCGTTGACCCGAATCTCTTCCGACAATCCGGTACAGTCGAATATACAAATACAGATAAAGTACAAAAACTAATAAAATATTCAGAAAATATTTTAAGAAAAGAGATAACCCAGCTGTGAAGTATTCTATCAATCAACTCATTTATAGTATTGGTCGATTGTATTGAATGATGTACATTCTTCATTGAAGCACGTCGTAATCAACCGTACACTATACTAAAAGGATCCGATACGAAAGGAATGAAACTTTTATTTAACAACTAATTTTGTACAGAATTCAGTACTCTACAATAATATTAAGTTTAAACTATTCTAGGACATAAACTAAAGACTCCATCACAATCTAAATGTATATTTAGAAATAGCAACAAAATGTATGCCAAATATCTTTCACTCTATAAATTAGATTATTGATATTTACTTGACAAACAAAACAATTTTTATGATAATGACCACCAAGTGCTTGTATATATGTATCAACAATAACTTGTTTACAACCAAGACATTTTGGAACAAAATTATTCATATAACATTCTCTGAAAAGAAAAAGAAAAATTTTTTGTTTTTTTTTCTTTTTGCATAAAATTCAACATACCGACAATAGGCATATCCATCTTTTTCATGATAACCATCTTCACCAACTCGTCGTTGACATAATTCACATAGAAAATGTTCTGGATGCCAATTACGATTTAAAGCTGTAATCATTACCTTTAAAACACACAAAAATAATTTAATTAAAACAAAGAAATAATTCGAATTTACATCGATTATTGGTTGATCACAACGAGCACATTTTGGTGCAAATAAACGTCGATAATCATGTTCACAATATGGTTTACCAGATTTTTCATAAAAATCTCTTCGACCAATTTCAATATTACATGCAGTACAACGTAAATGTTCTGGATGATATGAACGATCAAGTACTGTAATTATCTGTATGAATCCCCCCAAAAAAAAACAAAACAAACAATTACAATATATTTCATTATAAAATAATTAGTAATCGTAATTGAGCATGTAGAATATAGGAAAACAAACCGTATGAACCATCACCAGATTAAATACCTACTTATTTCATTGCTAGAAATATATTTTCATAGATAAGAAATAGTCTTAAATTTAAAAATAAAAAACTAAAAAAAGAAAGAAATGAATACCTGTCCAATAATTGGTTTTTGACAAGAATGACAAATAGGATATTGTTGTGATGAAGGTGGTAAATCTGATAGAACACGTACTGTTGATGTCTATTAATTTCAAAAGAAGAAGAAATTTTTAAAGAAAAAAATAACAATTTTTGTTTTCTAAGAATATCAAACCTGTGATGGAAGTTTAAAATTACTTAATGACTCCATGAGATCTTCTAATTCTTTAGTTACTGTTGATTTTTTAGATGAATATTTTGATGATGATGATAATGATCTATTAAAATAAAATTTTCATATAGAAAAAACAAAAAGAATTGAAAATTTTCGAATACTTTTTTCTTGAACTTGATCTATTTGTTTCAATTGAATCATTTAAAGAATCAATAGAATCATTAATTGATTTAATATTTCTTGTTGATGAATCTTCTATATTAGGAGTTAATTTTGTGGATGTTGAACTTGATGCACGTGATGTTCGAGCTGACAAAAAAAAACAGGAACACAATAAATCAAGGTTATTCAAACACTTCACAAGAGAAGTCCTCCAAATGATCAATCGTTTTTTAAGTCAAGATTATATACATTATCTAGATTCAAATAAGTTATGAATACCTTGAAAATCGTTCGTGCTTATTACTGCGGAAATACTACACTTTTATGGTACTTTTTAAATGAATGTCATAATCGAGAAAAACTGATTTTCGAATTTTGCATAAGGAGAAAAATCTTAACGAGAGTAGTTTCAGATCTTTTGATTTACTTCTATCTTGGAATAAGAACATGAAATCTACCGGTTTATATCTTAAGATAGGAACAGCGACAAAACTTGAAAATATTTTTGTTAAGACTTGTCCCTATGCAAAATTCGAAAATCAATTTTTCTGAATCACGACATTCGCTTAAAATCTACCGTAAAAGTGTAGTATTTTCAGAGCAACAAGCTAAAAGCACGAACTTTTTTCCATGTATTTATAGCTCATTTGGGTATATATAATGCACATAGTCTCAACTCAAAACAGAGAACGTCACAGGACACGTACCCTGCAGATAATCTATTCTGTTCTATACATCACAGATGGACTCGGTTCATTTTTCTTTTGGAACAGAACCGATCCTAACTCTTCTTTTTCCATTTCATTTTAGTTAGAAAGCATATGATAAGATTTATTAACATGATTATTGAATTAATAGAGGATCTATCTAACATCGTACATCATATACAAACAAGTTGGATATCCTTGTCAAAAAAGCAACGACAAGATCGTCTTGCACGCCAGACAAAGAAAATCGTTCTGTGACGCAAAAGCGATTTATTAGTTGTTGAACTTTCCTCGTTAGATATAAAATCTTTTAAATTTACTTTGTGTTTCGTTTCTCATTGTTTCTTTTGCTTTACTAAGTGTTTCAAGAAGTTGATTAAGTTCATTAAGACTTTTTGGTGCTGGTTCCTAAAGAAATATAATTTTAAATTACTTTTTTTAAAAACTTTTTTTTTTTTTTGAAAAAAGAAAAACAAACTGGATCAGTAATTGAATCTGGTCGAATTAAATTAAGTGTTCGAGTTCGATGTGTTGGAAGATTTCGATTAAGAATCATTGGTTCAAGACGAGTTTCATTTTCATTATTTTCATATGCATTTCGAGCACGTCGACTAACAGTCTGAAGGTCAGCTAGAAGTTGATCTAAATTCAAAACAAGAAAAAGAAAATTAAAAATAGAAGTCTAGATATTTCAATTTAAAAATAAATGAATAAACATACCAAGATCTTCCATGCTTTAAGTTAAAATGACTAAGCAACATAAAATGATTAAAGCAAAAGAAAAATAATAAACACAAGGTAACTAATGATATTCAATTGGTTAATTTTATTGAATTATTTATATTAATATAATATTTAAAACTATATGAAGAATTTTCAAAATTTTAAATTTTTTTTTATTTAAAAGATGTTTTCATATATTCTACAAAAAAAAGACAAACAGATGTCATTAGTAGTGTAAAACAAACGCAAAATACTTATGATAAGCAAGAACGAACATACCATAAATTAGACTATTAGAAAAAAAAAATGCTACCATCTGTGGGTGATGTACGTGAAGGATTTATATGTCCACAATGTCATCACGATATGTCAACAATGGAAATGTTACAATTGCATTTTCAAGATGTTCATATGAAACAATCATCATCAGCTGTAAAAGGTATTTAATTAAATTAATTTTAATTTCATGTCGATTTTCTTTTGATTTTTTGTTTTCTTTATTTAGGTTTATTTTCATTAGCAAAACAGAAAATAAAAAGTGTACAAGATAATTTTACAACAGTTCCAAATGAACAATCGAATGTTTATACGCAATTTTTTTCTTTTGATCAAAATGATTCATCATTAAAACAACAACAAATTGGATATATTCGTTCATATAATGATAAATTTAAAAAACTACGAAAAATTGAACATGATCAAATATCAATTGAAACAACACGTCTTTTACTTCGACTTGAAAAGTTAATCAGTAATGATGAAGATGTACCAAAAAATGCTAAAACAAAAGAACGTCGAAGTAAAAAAAAATTTCAAAGAAAAATATTTTATTATTATTGAATCTTATAAATTTTTCTTTTTCTTTTTTTTTAATAGAATATGAACAAGAAATTGTTGAATGGATTGATGATTCAAAAGTTTCATTATGTCCATCTTGTGCTAAACCATTTAGTTTATCTAGACGAAAACATCATTGTCGTCTTGATGGTTTTGTAATTTGTGATCAATGTTCACAATTTCTTCTATTTTCAAAAGCTCGTAAGATAAACTTATTCAAATCAAATAAAAAGAACCCTATTGGAATACGTCTTATAATACTATGAAAAGAAAAGTTTAGAATTTTGAATTATTCTCAATAATCCTTCATTTAACTATCGAGATGAAAATGTAATTCTTTATTTGATAGATTAACTATTGATTTTAATATAACAGATTATAGATAGTTAGATAGTGAGCAAGATGGTCCGGGATTGAAACGATCATTTTTTCATTGAAAATGATATCTTTTCTTTGTGGCAAATGTCATATTCTCATGACTCATGTGTTGTAAAAGTTTATGCGTGAACTATCGAATAAGGATTACTTCAATATTTACTGTTACAATATTTATTAGTAAAATGGATCCTTGCTTTTTTTTCATAAACAACAGAGTTGTCGAATACATAAACGTGCAGAATAGACGACGTATCAGTGAATTAAAAAAAATAATGAATCTACACGAGAGAGGATATTAGAGGTCGTTCAAGATGTCTCAAGCGTATTGACACTGCTAGAGAATGATATCGCATACCGAGACTAAAAATGATTAGTACCACTCATCACTACGGGTAGCCCATATAGAATCGACGTCTCAGTAGCCTTTTAACATAATGGGACAATTGTTGATTTTTCGTTTGATTCTCTGCAAATTTGCATTTTTTAATTAAATGAAACAGCATAGCTCATTTGTTTAGATCCAATGAAATGAATAGATTTAGAATATGTCATTTTCAAAATTATTTTTTTTTATCAAGATTTTTGCATTATTTATGTTTAAGTGAAAAATGCAAATTTGTAAAGAATCGAATGAGAAATCTATTTAAAAAATCATTTTTTTAAGGCTGCTGAGAAATATACAAGAAATAAATCCGACAATTTTACAGCACGAACCGCATCAATGATGAAATTTCCACTAAGATTGAACTCCAAAAAATTTCCTCTTAAAATTGATTTTCTAGAGATTTTGAAGAAGGATTTGCATCGTTTAGAATTGATTTTGCTCATATCTAAGAAACTATTTAAGATTTTCTTGTGAATTTTAGGATATTTAATTGATCCAAATTCATCAACATTGAATAAAATGACGGCAAATGGTTCATCACTTCAAGGTTCGAATAGTTTAACTTCAACAGTAACCACTGATGATTCAAATTTAAATAATAAGGATAAAGTCAATAGTGAAAATTATCTTCGTATTTGTTTATCATGTCAAAAAGTATTACAAAGACGTTATGATCAAATATGTTTTAAAAATGCCCAACGAGATGAAGTTTTTCTTTATTATGAAGTAAATTATTTCATCATTTAATGATTTTCTTTTATTTTTCTTTCTATTAGAAAATTGCTGAAGCACAAAAAGAACTTGCTAATATTCATCCAACATATTCGACAATTATTGAATCTCTATTGTAAGAGGTTTTTGTTTTGTAAAGTTCACATATTTTCGAAGAAAATAGTGGACGAAAGTTTAAATCGAGGTTTTTGCAGCTCCTCCCCGAGACTCTAGCAACGGAAAAAGGTACATCACTAATGTCAGTGCTTATATTGTTTAATGGATTCCAGGTGAATGATTCCAATGAACGGATTTATGGATTTATGGCGGTAACCCGCAGAAAAGACGTCATTTTTTACTGGGAAATGGTTGGAAGCAGGAATCCGTTGATCGTATCCAGTTGCCGACTCTCAGGAATTAAATAAATCCAATTACTGGATTCCTGCTTCCAAGTTCCTACCATTTTCCAGTCGTATCTCATTCACTTGGGATCAAATATGTTAGTAGAATAGTAATTCTAAATACAAACATTTTTGAAATAATAAAAGTCGGCTACAAGTTTTGTAGTAATTTTTCACCTCAGAATGGGATATATGTGAATGTGTAGAGGAAGTCTTTCTTTACAAATCTACATATATCCAGTTCTGGGATCAAAACCTTATAGTCATCTTTCGGAGCACGCGGATCAACTATACCATAAATTAATAATAGTTAGAGTTTGTGAGTTCTACAATTTAGCTTCTTATAAGGTAACACTAACAAGTTTTTTAAATATTTCAAAAAAAGGAAGTGACAACTCTTAAACTTCATTTTATAGAAGTGGTGATACAAAATATCAAATAATTGATGGTCAACGATTATATCGTCAATTAACATCTTGTTATGAAAAGATTGATTCTACATCGTATGTTGAAAAGAAGAATAATCTTTTAATATTCTTGTTTTTTTTTTGAATCTAATTATTAGAAAACATATTATGAAACTAGCTGATTCATGTTCAAATATCGATGAAGATGATACACAATCACAATTTCGTTATTCAGCTCTTTGTCGAAATATACGAATGTATGCTGTACATCTATTACAAAATTATGCTATATCAACAAGACGTGTACCAAGTGAAGATGATGTACAACGTGCACGTGATGAACGTAAACGATTAGTTGAAGAACGAAATGAATTAGAACGTGCAGCTAAAGCTGAATTAGTTTCAAAAATATCATCAACAGATTCTCCAACAACATCAAAAAAAGATGTTTCAGGTTGGAGACCAACAATTGATCGTAATTTATTAGTACAAGCACAAGAACTTAATCCACTTGTTCAACAAGTTTATCAAGTAACAGAATATATTCGACAAGCTCAGATAGCTGGACGTTATGATGAAGTTGAATCATTAAAATTAAATTTAAAAGAACTTGAACAAGCCTTGAAAAATATGCCACAACAAGAAAATGCATCAACATTTGATTCATAGTAATTTTGTTTTTCATTTAATAAGCATGATTTTGGAATTTTTTTTTCTTTTTTTTTTTTTTTATCTTTTTTTTTTATTTACAGTGCAATAGAATGTGAATAAATATTTCAATAATTTATTAAAATTACCAAAATAAGTCAGGTTTTTTTTTTCATTTGAAGAAAAAAAAAAGAAATGAATAGAATCATATTTGCACTGACCGGGAATCGAACCCGGGTCACCCGCGTGGGAGGCGAGCATTCTACCATTGAACCATCAGTGCGCAGCTAACTTTTCTAGAAATATCAAAATCTAGATCATCAATTAAAAACTTAATTTTTAAGATCTCAATAAAATTTTCGATCATTCAAATACTTCAATAAATGAGATATAATTTATGTTGTCAGTGTACGAAAGCGCTTTTGGCATAAAATAAACTAGTGTAAGAAATGAAAAGTGATCTCCGAGTGTTAAATTAATACGTACAAAATTATTATCTAAACTAACTGATGGAAATCCATGATGTTTATATCCATAATTGTTGATCTTGATTGTCTAGAATTATTGTATGAAGTTTGTTTTGTGTTGAGTAAAGCGTAAAACCTATATTTTTTGTTTTTATGTTAGAATATTATGAAAACAAATCAATTGAATGAATGTAATTAGTAATGTATTTTAGTATGATTCGATTTATAAGTTTAGTAGCAGAATTTATTATCGATCAATTTTTTTGAACAAACACTTGACGAATCCGATTTTAAATATGATTTGGTTAATAGTAGGTAACAAGGGATTATTAGGCATGCACTGGTGGTTCAGTGGTAGAATGCTCGCCTGCCACGCGGGCGACCCGGGTCCGATTCCCGGCTAGTGCACTCTTTTTTTTCCTCATCAAAAATTCAGATTGAAAAACTTTGCACATTGTATCTTTATTAAATTTTTTCATGCTTTGTTATTGACACAACTTTGTTTTTTGTTTAATAAACTGAATGAATGTATGTTATATTATCTCATTTTTAGTTCAATGAGAATATTTGAATAAGCAAAACAGTAGAGGTTTCTCTATTTCTGCTTTTCGAACAGTGTCATGACTTCAAATGATATTAATCTATGAAATAAATTAAATTATGAGATTAAATCAAATGAAAATATGCAGTGTTTGGAACAAAGTTTTATTGTGTTGAACATTTTTAATCGAGAATTTATAATCCAATCACCTTAACAGCACATGTGGAATGAAAAAGAAAACAAAGAAACTTCTTGTACTAACATAAATCTAAAGGTCATAATATATATCAATAACATTATGTAATCAATGAATAGCATCTATTAATAACAATACAAAATAAAATACATAATTAAATCATTAAGATTATGATAATATCCAAATATATATAACTAAATATTACAAGCACTCAAGTCGAGGGCGTTAGTAAAGATTTAGAACCCCCAGCGCCTTTTCTGTACTAGAAGTGCTATGGTGCTGATACATATTTGGACTTAGACAGGAAATTAAGGTTATAGCTATGAGTGAAAGTCATATTATTTCAAATGGGTTTTTTCAATCAAGACGAGAATATCTGTTGAAAATAACGATTTCTTTTTTTACCACTTGACTAAAAGTCTCCGAAGCCGAAGAATCCAAATTTTGAACCTGTTTTTCAAAATTCTTCAATTCGGTTTTTATGGTCAGTGAAAGCCTATTACATGCGGTTCACTCATCTTTCATAACGTTTAGCTATTTGTTTAGAATAGGCTTCCCCCTGACCAGAAAAATCGAACTCCAGAATTTTGAAAAACTGATTAAACGTTCGAATTCCTCAATCGCGGAAGCCTTTACTCAATTTTCATTAAAACAAATCGCTAGTTTGGAAACTAAACTTGTCTTGATTGTAAAAATCGGATTGAAATAGTATGTTTCTCACTCATAGCGATCACCTTAATTTCCAGTATAATTTCAAATATATATGAGTGTCACAGCAACTTGTATGGAAATTTGGTGCTCAGGTGCTGCACATACTTCCTTCACTCAAGCTCTATGTTCTGCTATATTATAACAATAGTATGTTAATACAAGAAGGTTTTTTTCTTGATATTTTTTTTTTTATTTCACATATGATGTTAAGATGATCAGGAGGAAAATAGCTGAATTAGGCCAAAAATCCTCGATTATAAATTTTCAAAGCAACAAAACTTTGTTCAAGATACTCCCTATTTTCATTTGATATATATAAACCTATATCATCTTTGTAGGATAGAATCATTCAATACAGGTGGGTTGATAAATATGCACCCCATGATTAAGTCTTTTCTTCTTTGGCCTTATTTTGATAAGTCTACTCTTATCATGTAGCACTGTAGATGCAATTTCAACAAGTCAGCAACATGCACTGGTGGTTCAGTGGTAGAATGCTCGCCTGCCACGCGGGCGACCCGGGTCCGATTCCCGGCTAGTGCATTTGTTTTTTTTCTACTATTTATCCAATCCTGCATACTAATCGATCGTATTATTGGCTGATCGCAAGGTGAG